GGGAAAAACTTAAAATAATAAACTTAAATACGTTTATCGGGCTACGTACTTAACGACTGTAGGTTCTTCTTACTTCTTCTTACTTAATTAGCTTTATAGTTCTGCAACAACTTTACATAGACTTTCACCCTTCCATGAACGTATCGTGCTAAGCAAGTCATATTTTACACATGCTATCAATAGGGTATTTGTGACTACCAAATTATATTAATATTATGTTATAAATTGTTGGTATTACCATTATTACATAGGTAAATTTGCAAATCAATAAACTTGCTTCATTGCAAAAAGGTTTTTTTCTTTGATATCAAATAGCATCAAATCAAGAGTAAAGCTTAAGACAGACAAAACTGCCGATTAGTGGAGCTTAATATTGACAATTTTCAAAATAACAACAAGAACTATAATCTTTTTAGCCTCTAAGACAACGATAGATGCAACAGCGTTGATTACAATCTACATGTCCTCAATTTTTACCTCGGTCAAAAGACAAGTAAACAACTACATATGTTCAGGATGAGTAAGAATTAGGAAAATTTACTGTGGTATCTTTAGGTTAATATAGATATGAAAATTCAACTTTTGAGCTATGTGGATCTCAACAAACACATTTTAATTCTGTTAGGTTGGCTGAATATACATGTATGTCTGAAGTATTGTGACACCAACCCCGTCTACTCTTAACGAATGCGATCAACATGTACCTGTATTATTGCATTGATATACAAAAAAATCCCCCAGAAAGTCTTATAGAGAAAGTACAGTTTGGTTTTTTTTTATGTGACAGTCTGTAGATGCATTACACAACTAACTACTTTTCAACTTTATACACAACCATTCCCACGATGAATTAGAATTCAGGCTTTTGATCTTATGCGTGAAAAGAAGAAAACACTTGCTGTGGCCTTCAACTCGACATTTCGATATATCGACGACGTATTGTCAATTTACAATGATAATTTCCATTTTATGTCGATGAGATATATCCTGGCGAGTTTGAGATAAAAGGTACCACAGGGTCTGACACATCTATTTCATATTTGGATATTTTACTTGAAAAAGACATTAATTGCAAATCTTACAACAAAGTTTCATAACTAACGACTTGACTTTAACTTTTCAATCGTCAACTTCCCTTACTTTTGCAGCCATATACCTTCATTACCTGCATACGGGGTTAATATCTCTCATTTGATTCGATTCGCAAGAGCATGTTCAACGTACATGTATGAACAATCTTTAAAATGAGGTAGTTATTGATAAACAAGTTGATAAAACAAGAATATCAGCAATCTCGTCTTAAGTCATCATTTCGTAAGATCTGTGGTCGATACAATGAGCTTTTCAGCAAATTCAATTTATCATTAAGTCAAATGCTGACTGACTATTTTCATACTGATTGTTAGGTCATTAAATTTACACTGAAATGTCGGAGGATGTTTCCGTTATTTCCCAATCATTACAAGGAGCACACGGCTGATGTGACCGGTCGGCAGGGGATGTTCACTCCTCCATGACACCTGATCCCACATCTTATATTTTGGAGGTCAGCGTTTGCTCTACACCTATTTTGTATTGTTTTATGGATTTTTGACCTTGACTTCTTTTTGTTATCTTCATTTATTTCATTGCTAATTATATATTGTGTTTACTAAATGATAGTTATTGTTATTATTAATTCCGAAGTAAATTTGCTAATCAACATACATGCATGAGAACAAAAGGTGTTTTTTTAGAATCAAACAACACCAAATCAAGAAAAGAGGTTATCATAAAACAGACAAAACTGCTTATTAGTGGAGCTAAATATTGACAATCATCAAAATAACAACATTTATAACCATTTCCAGCTTCAAAGTCGGAGATGGGTGGAACAGATCCTACAATCTACATGCCTTCAATAATTTCCAAAGACTAGTACTTAAACAAAGACTAGTACTTAAATAAACAGACTAGTACTTAAATAAACATAGACTAGTACTTTAACAAACACAGACTAGTACTTAAATAAACACAGACTAGTACTTAAATAAACACAGACTAGTACTTAAACACAGACTAGTACTTAAATAAACACATACTAGTACTTAAACAAACACAGACTAGTACTTAAATAAACACAGACTAGTACTTAAACAAAACAGACTAGTACTTAAATAAACACAGACTAGTACTTTAACAAAGACTAGTACTTAAACAAACACAGACTAGTACTTAAATAAACACAGACTAGTACTTTAACAAACACAGACTAGTACTTAAATAAACACAGACTAGTACTTAAATAAACACAGACTAGTACTTAAATAAACACAGACTAGTACTTAAATAAACACATACTAGTACTTAAACAAACACAGACTAGTCCTTAAATAAACACAGACTAGTACTTAAACAATTAAACACAGACTAGTACTTAAATAAACACATACTAGTACTTAAATAAACACAGACTAGTACTTAAACAATTAAACACAGACTAGTACTTAAATAAACACATACTAGTACTTAAACAAACACAGACTAGTACTTAAATAAACACAGACTAGTACTTAAACAAAACAGACTAGTACTTAAATAAACACAGACTAGTACTTAAATAAACACAGACTAGTACTTAAACAAACACAGACTAGTACTTAAATAAACACAGACTAGTACTTAAACAAAACAGACTAGTACATAAACACAGACTAGTACTTAAATAAACATAGACTAGTACTTAAATAAACACAGACTAGTACTTAAATAAACATAGACTAGTACTTAAACAAACACAGACTAGTACTTAAATAAACACAGACTAGTACTTAAATAAAACAGACTAGTACATAAACACAGACTAGTACTTAAATAAACATAGACTAGTACTTAAATAAACATAGACTAGTACTTTAACAAACACAGACTAGTACTTAAATAAACATAGACTAGTACTTAAATAAACACAGACTAGTACTTAAATAAACATAGACTAGTACTTAAACAAACACAGACTAGTACTTAAATAAACACAGACTAGTACTTAAACAAAACAGACTAGTACATAAACACAGACTAGTACTTAAATAAACATAGACTAGTACTTAAATAAACATAGACTAGTACTTTAACAAACACAGACTAGTACTTAAATAAACACAGACTAGTACTTAAATAAACACAGACTAGTACTTAAACACAGACTAGTACTTAAATAAACACAGACTAGTACTTAAACAATTAAACACAGACTAGAACTTAAACAAACACAGACTAGTACTTGAATAAACATAGACTAGTACTTAAACAAACACAGACTAGTACTTAAATAAACACAGACTAGTACTTAAACAAAACAGACTAGTACATAAACACAGACTAGTACTTAAATAAACATAGACTAGTACTTAAATAAACATAGACTAGTACTTTAACAAACACAGACTCTTACTTAAATAAACACAGACTAGTACTTTAACAAACACAGACTAGTACTTAAACAAACACAGACTAGTACTTAAATAAACAAAGACTAGTACTTAAACAATTAAACACAGACTAGAACTTTAACAAACACAGACGAGTACTTTAACAAACTCAAACTAGTACTTAAACAAACACAAGCTTCAGGGTGACATCAAGAATTAGTAAAATTTACTTTAATATTTATAGGTAAATAAAAATATGAAAGATCGCCTTTTGAGTTACATAGTTCTTTACATACACATATGTAAGTTCTGTTACGTTGTCTGAATACATGTCTGAAGTATTGTAATACCATCCGTCAACTCTTATCAACTGCGTTCACAATGTATATGTATTCTTTTTCCAATGAAACATACGGTTATATACAAAAAAAAATTCCCCCAAGAAAGATTCAAAAGTTAATGACATGAAGAAAAGGTACTGTTTTTATTTCATGCACCGGTCAGAAGATGTATTATATCTAATAAAGGATCAGAAAGATTCTATGTTCACACAAATACCTACCTTATTCAGTGCAAGGAATCTGCTGAATGACGCAATGTTGAAAAAAGAAATACAATATCCAGGTGATTTTGTAGATGAAACAGCCACTGCTTTTAGGTTTATATTTTATTAGAATATCACTTGACTTGCATGAGTTTCCATTCTAACTACGGGTATTGTATCGTAATGTTAAAAAAGCCTTCTAGTTGCAACCGATGAAGTTGTCTTAATTGAAGATGCATGCACCCAGTTATAATTTGTTTCACTCAGCAAAATCAATTCAGAGATAAAATGATAATCCCGTATTAAGCTTTCTCTTTTTCTTCTAAAAATATGAACTAGTGCTTAAAGGCATAATATACACTGAAGAACAGCAAGGTTTGTTTTTGCTGAATCATTTCATTATTGATAGATAGACAGTGCTGCACTGGACAAAGGAGGCGGATCACAAATCAGCTGTGGTGAAACTCGAGAGCTCTTCGAGTCGGTCATGCAACCATCTTGTCTGTTTACTCAATATAGAAGCAGCTTAGTGCTTTCAAGATATAAAAGATAAACTATAATATAAAGAAAAAAATCGACAGAACCAAAAGGCATTTACAAGTTACAATATTTCATTGTGGTATAGTTTATGTAGTGTTAAAGTGATTGTGTATGTTTTTAAAAAAAAATGAGTTTTTATTTTCAGATATATTACTGATTTCTGAAAAGATACAGTTATCGCATTACAGGGCCTACATGTAAGTTTCCTTTTTTGTACAGCTTAGATGAAAAATATAAATAATTTGTATTTTCATGGGAAAAAATTTAATATCCATATCAATGTTCGCAACGTTATGTATGTATCAATGTTCGCAACGTTATGTATGTATGACATTTTGGAAATACCGTAGAGATAATTTTTATTCTATATAACGTCTAAATATATTTTTCTCATTTTATTCAAACATGCTACACATAAATTACAAACAAGTGCAACTAATAAAAACACGATAACACAGTTATCAAAATCACAAACTTTAACATGTTTCTAAAAAGAGATTACCATAGTCATACCTGCTTTCTAAAGAGTTACATCTTTTTTGAGAAAAACCTATAACGATGATTCTCTATAGAAAAGTCATCATAATTAGTGTATGCATTTCAATATCGATGAAACAAGAATATATATTTACCAATTCAAGAACAGTATAAATGTTATTATATACGATACTCTGTCGATGGCACATACAACACTATTTATTTTTGTGTAAGTTTTGGGATCGTGTAAATCAGAACATAGGCTATCCATTTCTAATCCTGCTCATCCTGCTCTGAAGTAATGACCCAGTCCGCCGTCTGTTTAAGGGAAAACAGTAACTTCCGAAGTAATTATGACAACAGATTTGAGATGCGTCACATCCGGGGTCATCAAAGCAGTCCACTGTAAATCTAGGGATCAGGTTGAGCCGTGGTGATGGGCATCTGCCTGGTCTAGCAGAGTTAAAGGCTATCAAAATAGAAATATATTTTTGAAAGATTTTTAACCTTTAAAACATTCTTTGTTCGATTTTAATAAAAACTAGAGCTAACTGTAAGGGAATTGTTACAGGTGTTCCTCAACCAACCCCACACTCCCCTTTATGACCTAACTGTTCATAAGTTACAACCAGGAATTTTGCAAAAGTTGGTTAAACTCCAAGGTCAAGAGGAACATATTTATACCCCAAGAAAAGTCTTGTCACGGGGAATACCCATCGGAAATATGAGAGCCAAGGGCTCAACTGATTAAAAGATTGGGACAAGGTTGGAGATTTTATGGACAAAGAGACAAACAGCAAAACAGGCGAACAGGGCAAAAACTATATATCGAGAACCCGAAATCTCGAGTGCAAAAAATATAAATATAAAGTAAAATGACAACTTTTGGTCTTCAAGCAACATCTTTTATGTTGAACGTTTAAAAATTGCAAATTTTCAAATACAATAAAATCTCATCTTAGTGACGGAGTGTATTCTAGTTTTACAAAATGTTTATTCTAATATTATAAGATTGTCAGATCCTTTGAAACTTTATTTTCCACTATAGCTCGGTTGGTCACGTGATCAAGTCGAAGGGCTTTTCAGTAGATTGGATTACATTCCAACTGAGTTCATTTCCCAGTGGAGTTTTAATCTTGCCATTTATTTCTTTAAAACATTGTATCTTGTTCTCCCCTTACAACTGCTGACAAGGTACCAGTTACTTGTAATAGTACATATGAGAGTTCTTTGTACATATATGTTTAAAGTTGAGAATGTTTTATTATTTTTTAAAATTGATTACATCAAGGTTAAAAGAAACAAACAAAGATAAAAAAAAAAACAATCAATATCTGATGATAGAAATTTTTAATTTAAGAGTAAATTCTACACTTTAGACTATGGTAATATTTTGCGAAGTGCAAACAGAAATGTACGAGGGATGATCAATAAATAATGTCATCGGTGCTCGGAAAGCAAAAAAAAAAAACGCATTTCAGTGATTTAGTCTTAATGATTTCACTTAAATATTCTCTTTTAATTGAAACACATGTCCGTAACATTTTTATCCAATTTCTAATTGTTTTTCGAACACATTTTTGAGTATGACCCTTCGTGTACTGGAATATGGCAGATCCTATGATTTCCTGTACTTGTTATCTTCTTTCGATCTGAAAGGTGTTTTTTTTTTAAGTTTGGGAAATGAAACAAGTCAAAGGTTGAAAGATCTGGCGAATATTGTTGGTGTGACAAAACATCAACTTTCTATTTATCCTCAAAATCCCTTTACTCTTCATGGCCTGTAGGTTTGGACGCTGTCATGAAACATTTAATGTAGTGGATTCCTCATTCTGGTTCCTTCCTCTCATAAACCTTTCGATTTTTTGGCAACAGTTTTACTTTCTAGACTCCACAAGATATAGAACTGCCTCCCCCCCCCCAAATAAAAATTTGAACAACAAGACCACTAATATTTCAGAAAATAGCATTTGAAACTGTTTTTGTACTCTTGAAAATCGTTGCTCTTTTCAGACCTTTGCTGTTTTGTCAAGTGCATCTTATTGTAAATTTGTTTTGAGGGTTAAGAGCAAGGGATTCAATTTTCATCATCTGTTCTAATTTCAGAGAAAGGTTGATAAGTACAATTTTTGATTTTTAAAGATATTTTTACACGCCGTCGTTTTCACTCTGAGTATTAAGCTTTTTTTACTGTCAAATGTTTCTTTAAAACATTGTGAACTACCCCCAAAATGATGCCTATCAAATTTTCTGTGTCTTACAGTCAATCAAATATAATCAGTGATAATTTGTTGAATTTTCGCAAACAGTACATTGTTTGTTGTAAGTCCTTGTCGCCAAGGACGGTACCAATTTTTGTGCCTATTATATCATTTTTGTTAATTGAAATCCATCTGCTCATGTGTGTATAAAGCAGACATTGGTTGCTGTAAATTTCACATATTTCAGCTAATTTTTTTTTGGATTCTAAACAAGTTTTACAGCAGCTTTTATGATCGCGTTCAGTTTCATCTAATCATGATCGGGAAATAACGGGAAAATCCGTCGTCAATTCAGTGTATAAATAATGGACTAACAATTGGTATGAAAAAAAGTCATCGTGTTTATCAGCATTTGACCCTCAATGATAAATTTTATTTGCTGACAAGGTCATTTTATCTTTTATCCATAGAACTCAGCAGGATAAATGATGACTTTAAAGAATGGAAATTCTTGTTAATTCATCAACTTGTTTGTCAATAATTTACCTCGTTTTAGAAATTGTTCATACGTAGACCATGCTCTTGTGTATCGAATCAAATGAGATATATAATCTCCGTATGTAGGTGATGAAAATATATTGCTGCATAGGTAAGGGAAGACATAAATACAATGTATTGAAAAGTTATCATCTTTTTGATGTCAACTTCAGAGTACTTGTGTGTACAATCATAATGTTTTTAACAAAATAACTTTGTGAATGACCAACGACAAGGTAAGTAAATTTACGAGTTCCATTTTTATTGAGATTTATCATAAGAATATTTTGGTCAGTTTAGTTTTGGGTACGATCGAGCCATTTTGGACAGAGTTATGCCCCTTGGACTTAAAAAAATTCCAATTGGAAATTACCATTTCATTTGTTAATTGACACATACAGTTGTGTACAGATTTATCATATGAATATCTAGGTCAAGTTCTGTTTTGGGTACAATCGAGCAATTTTGGATAGAGTTATACCCCCTTGGACTTACAAAAATCCAATTATTTGGGAGACGGGGCATGTGTTTTACAAACATCTCTTGTTTTTATCCTGTTCTTTGCATGTCTATCTGTTTATCTATTTTTCTGCAAAAACTTAATTTTGCCTATAACTTTAGATTGGGATAAATCTGAAACCCCTAGTTCTACTTGTTTAACGTTATGGCCAAGGTTATGTGTTTTTTCAAAGTGTGCCAAACACTAGGGTCAAGACAAAAGGTCAAAAATATACAAACTTGAAGTATGAAAGCCCCAGTACCAACTGTACAAAAATTACGGCCAAGGTTATTTTTTGGAAAGGAGGGTCTAACTCCAGGGTCAAGTGGTCAGATATATTTGTACTCATTAAAAGTATTGTCAAAAAAAACAAAAAAACAAAAAACAAAAAAAAACATAAAGAATATTAAAGCCATAGCTCCCACCAACCAAAAGTTATGAGCAAGGTTCAAGTGTTGCCTGAAAAGATTAACAGGCAGACAGATTTTACTGTAATCATTCAACTTTTCGACTTTCTATAGATGATTTAACAACAGTGTAATTTTATGATTCAATTATATATGGTTTTAATTCATGGATAAAGACTGATTCTTCTTCCTCCTTACCTGAGACACAGGTGGGTTGTTTCAGTAGACAGGGGCCCGTGGGACGACAGTTATCGTAAGATAAGTCACAGACTTCTCCTATATTGCACTCCACTATCTTAAAAAACATGATGAAATAAGGGAAATGTTTTACAGGTGGAAAATATGAATTTTTTAATAATATATATTTGATTGAAAAAGAGCATATTTTGAAGTATGTTTGCATTGTGTTATAATTAGTATTAAAATCTAATCGCAGAGATGTTTAGAATGTATATAATCATACACAAGTACTGGATAAGATGTACGATGACTGCAGTGATAATTGTAGACCAGAAGTCTCTGTTTTACGTCGTGGTTATTGGAGACAATGTCCATTATGTGTTAAACATTGTCGTTTTCTATCAATACAATAGCGTGTTGTGTATTACAACGTGTCTAACTTTTAATGTAATCCATGGCTCTATTCACAGGAAATGAAATGAACAGTCATATCTCTGCTTTGCAGTCACGTTTTTTGACATATAAACCGTCATGTAAAATATAAATGTAAAAAAAAATTAGCTGTTGAAAATAATTCTATGTATAAAAGTTTCAGTCAATTTAACACATGTCGAAGCGAAGACAATAGCAAAATAAGTCAGAATAAATTCTGCTTCGTGCCACGGTAAATACAGGTATAGAAACAAGTCTGGTAATAACTGGGCAGAATATGTACCCATTTGAAAGACCAATAAATTGTTAGAAGACTGAAACCAACATCGATATTGATAATGAGAAACTCAAGCATTTTAATATCATTATCGGCCGCAGCAGCGGTCGATCTATTTGTGGTTGTTATCGGCCGCAGCAGCGGCCAATCTATTTGTGGTTGTTTATCGGCCGCAGCAGCGGCCGATCTATTTGTGGTTGTGTTAGAAAGTGCACATGGGGAATTGAGATGTTATTTTTTCATTAGTTCGGTAAAATGATTCTTGAATGATAACATGTATAAAATCATGAGTAAAATATTTTAAAAACTTGCTTTAATTAAAGTTTTAATTGTTGTTATTATGTTTCAATTTCATGTTCATTTTGCATCAGATAATTCATAATTTATGGTTATATAAAAAGAGTACTCCCCATCCTGGGAGTGTGTAAGACACAAAAGGAAATCGTCATGATTTTCCGGATAATAATGACATGGTAAAGTGTATGAATAAAAAATTGAAAAGTTGTTCAACTAGTAAAAATTTGTTTGAATATGCTACAGCTGTGAATGACACAAAGATTATTTTTATACATTTTGCAACACACCATGCAGCATAGCCTACTCTGCAGAAACCATATCTAAGACATTATCACGTGACAAAAATCCAGGGTATCAGCACCCGGTTAATCTTGAGAGGCCTACATCTTCATTTTGATGGCAATAATTTCTCATATTAGTCATTGACTTTTTTATATCGATAAATCCATTGGATGAGAAAATGCAATAAAATTTTTATTTTATTTTTAAAAATATTCATTTATTTATTTTGCTTTGAAGACGGTCTGAAATAAAAATTCACTATAATTTTAGCTTTGAATATCTTGTGCTTTTCTTGCATGAATGCTTTTAAATTTGTGAAAGTATTTTTTTTTTTTGAAATGCTAAATTTTGTTAGTGGCCGATTTGATGCTTTGCATCAATTTTACTTGTCTTTGGTGTACTTGTGTGTAGAATGTTTGCAGATGACCAGTGACATGGTATGTAAATTTCAAAGTTCCTATTTTATTGTTAGAACAATCAGTTGTCAATATCAAAAGGTCTGGCATTGATTTATCGTGGGAGTGGTTATGTATCGTGTTAAAATTACGCACGTCTCGATGTTATTGATTCAAGACAAAGTCAAATCTCATAGCGCATCTGCAGCACACCACACGACAAATTCCTGGTGGATTGACCAAAGCTTAAAATGATTGAGGGGGTCTTGAAAGAAAATTTTATCTGGAAACGTGGTCTTTAGAATCCCTGTCAGCCTTAAGGGTGAAAATAAAATTTCTGAAACCGTATTGCAAATCTGTAGGACATCATAATCCAAATGTTGCTACAGCTTACAATAGATAAGGAAGATGATTTTTAAAGAAAAAAAATAGTTTTTTTGATACTCGATTAGCCCAAGGTAAAAAAGAGCGTTTTTAAACATCGTCATTTAAAGGACATTATCTGTCATATTCCAAGGATGAATTGGCCACTTCTAAAAATAAAGAGGGGTTATGGTAAACGACTACTAGTGTGTGACAGATGGACGGTCGGACCAAAATGACAAAATACATGTACTACAGTACTTGTACAAGAAATGTATATATAGAATCAGCAACAACATAAATATACTATTAGAAGTATAGTGAATTAAAAGTAATAAAGAGAAGTGACAACATATCGCCATATCAAGCAGAAAAGGAATTCTAGCACATGCAATTGTAATGTTCATAAATATAAGCAAGGAAGCCTTTTCCAAAAGTGTGAGATAAATGGCTCATTTCGAGGTCAAAAATTGAAAGGATATTGAAATTAAATTCATATTACAGCTTAAAGCATTAATTATGTTGGTTTTTAATTATTGTGAAAAGTATTGCTTGAATTGCAATGATAATTTCACAGCGAGTTTAAATTTTATCAATCAGGCAATTATTCAAAATTTTCAGCGAGGTCAAAAATTTTTGTTACGCTATGGATGGGCCTTTTTTTTTTTAAATATCATTAAGAAAATGTATGCAGGATCGATTCATGTCCGAATTATGTACACATTGCATTGTGATTTGTCTGTTTTAAAGTTTGAAGTGATGTGTAAGGCACAGATTTTTTTAACATTCAGATTCATTATACTTACAGAGCAGGCATGTCGACGTACAACATTGATCCAAGGATTTTGGAATCGAGACACTGTCTGTGCGTATATTGTATGTAAAATATACAACTGAAACACAATAAAATACAAATAGTTAAGGTATTAAGTGTTATTTTGTTACTTTCAAGATGAACAAAATTGAGCGCAGGGCAATTCTTAATTTTTTTTTCTTCTATTGTAGATTTAATTGGGGAAAATTCAATGTCATATTTTCAATTTGTCCAAAGAGAGAGTTTTGTTGATAACTGCCTTTTTAACTGAAAAATAAATGTGAAATTTTATTTTTATTTTTATTGTTGTTGTTGTTGCTGTTTGTGTGTTTTTTTTTAAATAAACATTTTATCAAGATATGATGAGTTTTTATGCCTGAATGTATTTATTGTATATACATTTATATTTGTTTTTGTTTTTTTTATTCGGTGTAAAACAAAAGTGCCATTTTTTATTTAAAGGAATAAAATGTTGGATTTCCCCGTCTTATTAACTGAGCATCAAACGAGTACAAGATATTTCATTGTAATATCTAATTTAATTAAAAAGCTAAGATTTTAAATTTAAAAAATATGCTGTTTTTTCATAGTTGTTGAATTAAAAAAAAAATAAATAAAATGTCATTTAAAAAATCAAAATAAAATTCTTACCAATAAAAGGTAAATCCAAGTCATTTCTCCAAATTTATCTAAACCTCATATACGTGGCACTAATAGCTTTTATGCTTGTACACACGATTTTGCTATATATGTTGATTAGAAATTGAGTAATCTATGGGGGCACATAAACAAAAGAAAGAACGTGGTCAAAAAGTCACTAAATCATCGTGGGTCAGAAGTGGGCCTTTTTCTTTCTTTTCCAACATGTTGTAAACATAGGAACAATCGATCACTGATCTTGTTTCGATTCATCACTTTAATATTCATTCATTTAATCGTGAATGCAAGTAACAACTTAATTTCATGTTACTTACTCCTGTTTAATTAATTGGAACCAGTCTCCCTACATCACGTCACACGGACCGAAACATTTATTACCCAGATAAAACAAAACAAAAAGGGTTTATTGACCCTTTTTTGCAAAATCTACATTATTCTTTCCGACATGTTGAGTACATGGTATACATTCAATAGTATTTATGTGGCAGATTTTTGTTTTGACAACTTTGTGGTTTATGTACTTTTTATAGTCAAAATATTTTTGCCAATTTATCGTTCTTTGTTCTAAGGAAACTCCTTGCTGCGTTACAGCGAGAAATGTAATAAAAACGCAAAATGTAATAAACTTGTATTATTACAATTTGTAGTATTATATTCTGCGTCGAGATCAACGCATAATGTAATAACACAAAATGTAATAACATAATTTTTAGATTATTACAGTTTGCGTGACTACATTTTGCGTTATATAATAACGTATTTTTTCTTTGTTACATTGTGCGTTATTAAATTTTTGCGTTGAGGACAGCGCAAAATGTAATTGAACAAAAAGTAATAAAATATATAATTTATTTTTAAAATATGTAATTTTGGGGATTGTATTTACATTTTGCGTTGATCTCGATGCAAAATGTAATTTGAAAATTGTAATAATCTTTTTTAAAAAAAGGTCTGAAGCTAGATTTTTGTGTTTTTACATTCTGCTTGATCTCGACGCAAAATGTTATAACGCAAATTGCATTTGAGTTATTACATTGCTGTCCCAGTGTCTTTGTTCTGTTTCAAAAACAACCTATGTAGTAGCCTAGCCAGACCACTAGAATTACAACAACAAATACTATGCAGTATTAATTATTTATACCTTTTCGCCTTCTTCCATTCTTGTAAAAAAAAAAAAAGCATGACAACCAGAGACCCAACACGTTAAACTTTATCACGAAAAAATATTCTAGTATCGATAAAAGAGAGAGGGGTGGGACACAGGGATGACACCGTGAAACGAAAGTTTTTTAAGGAAAAGACAAGATAGGGTAAGGTCCCTATTTGACCCCAGGTTTAAAGTATAATGTCATGTTTTTCTAAGAACGATGCAACAGTTCAACATCCAAACCCATTTGTCTTTCTTGTTACAAAATGAGTATTGGTTCTCGGTTATGGGATACTTGTAAGCAAAGGTTACACGGGAGTACACAATATGGCATTTTCGATTTTTCTCATCTTTGAGCAAATTCTCGTCGTATACAGAAAACAAGAAGCACAAGCTCTCTTATATATACATGTACGAGGGCTGTTCAGTAAATGATGTCCTCGGTGCTCAGAAAGAAGCAAAAGAGGCTTTTCAATGATTTAGTCTTAATAATTTAACTTAATATTCTCTTTCAATTAAAACCGATGTCGATAAAAATTTTCATCCAACTTCTGATTGTTTTTAGAACTCATTTTGGGTATGACCATTAGTATACTGGAAAATGGTAGATCTTATGATTTCCTGGACTGGTGTCTTCGTTCTTAAAGGTGTTTTTTTTTTCAAGTTTGGAAAATGAAACAAGTCAAAAGGCGAAAGATCTGGCGAATGTTGTTAGTGTGAAAAAAAATTCACTTTCTCTTTATCCCAAAATCTCCTTTACTCTTCATGGTGTGCGGGTTTGGACGCTGTCGTGAAGAAATTTAATGTAATGGATTCCTGATTCTGGTTCCTTCCTCTCATTTGTGCAAAAAATTTGCTTTCTAGGAATCTATATACAACAAACATGTAATCTGCCTCCCCGAATACGAATTTTAACAACAAGACCACTAATATTTAAGAAAATTGCATATAAAACTGTCTTTGTGCTCTTGCAATTCTTTGCTCTTCTCAGACCTTTGCTGTTTTTGTCAAGTACATCTTATTGTAAATTTTGTTTCGAGGGTTTTAAGCAATAGATTCAAGTTTCATTATCTGTTTGAATTTCAAACAAACTTGGAAAACTATGATTTTTTTATTTTTAAAATAATTATTTAGATATTCTTACACGCTGTTGTTTTCACTCTTTTTTCAAAACATAGGGTGACCTTTGAGTACTAAGCTTTTTTACTGTCAAACGTTTCTTTAAAACAGAGTGACCTACTTCCGAAATGATGTCTATCAAATTTGCTATGTGTCTTAAAGTCAATCATACATCATCAGTGAGTATTTGTTGAAAATTGGCAAACAGTACATGAGTTGTTATAATTTTTGTTGACAAGGTCGGTACCCATTTTTGATGCCCATCATATAATTTTTTTATCATTCAAATCCGCCTGCTCATTTGTCTATAAAACAGACATTGGTTATCGTAAATGTTACATATTTCAGTGAATATTTCATTGGGATTCTTAACAAGTTTTACAGCAGCTTGAATGAAGCGTTTAATTTCACTCTAGTGTACTGATTCTTTATCATTCATTTTACATGCAGTGTCTCGAATAGCCCTTGTTTTCCAGCTTCTCACAATGAAACTATGTGATGAAAAGTGGTCACATAAATTGTTATAAATTCATTAAAGATTCAATAATGCGAAAAAGCTAAGCTTAATGTCATATGATATCTGTATTATATGTCATACAGTTCAGGACATTATTTATTGAACAGCCCTCGTATCTATACTAAAATTATACATTTCTTGCACTAGTATTGGACACGTCTTGTGTATAAAAATGTCATAGAGGCAAAGTTGTTTTCTTTGATCCGTACGTGAAAGGTAACTCAGATTTGACAAATCTTATCAGAAATGGGGAAAAATTACATGAAATAAGAGACCGAATGCGGCCGTTACCACAGCTTACACCCCCTAAATAATGAAACTCAACTTAAACATTGACATTGACACTTATTTTGAGTCATATTTCCAGCTAGCCACGAAAATAAATGTTCGTGAAAAAGGCCTGTTGACGACTTCTGGCGTGAAATGGAAGTAGGTCTGAAGGAAAACCGCATGTGGCTATTGCGCATCAGAACTTACATTAATTGAAAAAGAACAAGAGAACAAGAAAGCCACAGTAAAGGTAACAATTTAAAATACAAAAGTTCCCAAGAACCAAAGTGAGTAATTCCCTCACTGACAAAAAACAGAAGGAAGAGGAATCTATATACAACAAACATGTCAATCAGTCTACTTCACGGAGCAATAAACGTCAACAAGACGCAGTATAGGCCACATAATGGAATAAATGACCAGAATGTATAATAACCTTCAATAAATCACACATTAAAGAATGGTCTCTTCACACAAAGTCATCAAAAATGATCGCCATCAAAAAACATTACACATGGTCATTCCTCTGCTGAAATTGCACATCTGAAACTTTTTATGCATCTGGTATCAAATTATCTTTGGCTTTGAAACTGTATTTTTTATAAATTAAGAAAATATCCATCTATCTGCAAGTACAGTTAGATTTTAGGTTGGTTGTAGTAGAGTTCACGTTGAAGGAATAGAAGATTAAAAATTAGCAGTTACATCATCCAATATATTGTATGGTGTACTTGTATTTACAAACCAATAAGATGCGCATTTTAACATCGCAAAATTTCATTCTGTTTCTCATGATTTCTCGCTGACAAAGGACAAGTAATACTAAAAAGAATATAGGAAGGAATATATTAAAAATATATTATTTATTAACTATATATTATAAATATCTATGATAGAAATTGCAAGGTCAATGTGTTTTTATGACAACACTGACCGATTAATAATATTAGAAAATTACAATTAACATCAAGTTGCATTTAAAGTATTCTGACCTACAACAAACATGTCAAACTAAAATTAATATGGAGAATTTAATTTTTACACCATTTCTTGCAATTGAAGGTCATTTTTGTTAATAATACAGAATTTATCTTTAAATTTAAATCACCAATGAAATGTACAATTAATAAAAATAGAGCCTTCTAAATGACTTATTTCACATTACATATTCCTGTTAAATAAATAGAAGGATATACAGAGCATCTCTGTCACTATATGGCCAATACTCTTATGCGAAATCAAAATAAGAGTTTGGCTTATGACTGCTCAGTTCCTTCAATGAAAGATAAAAACTGAAAAAAAAAGTAAATTCTAAAAAAAGATACAAAAAATTAAATTTTAAAAATAAACACACTTTAAATGCACTACAATGAGTTTTGTGTCTGGACGGAAAAATGACAATAACAAAATATCTCAATAACCAACATATAGCACCAAAATAAACAGAATATACAACAGCTGTTTACTGTTAACTTAATTCTTATCTTTAAAAAAAATCTAACGAGATTCATTATCACCGGGCATAATGTGTGCACATCATCAACATGTCACTGCAAAGTCAAACAAAATAAAAGTCCAATTAATGACTGTGATTCAATGAATAACTTAAAATTGCTGTAACTTTGTAACAATTTAAATTCAGTTTTTAAATTAATTTAGAAAATTTCCTAAAAATTCTGTTTAGAAGTATCAGAATGATTTTTTATGTAACAACAATCAATATTATTAGATGGTGTTTAAAATCCCCTAAGCACATACTTCAGTATTGCACACATTCAAATGCCCAATCACTAGTAGGGATCAAATAAATAGATATTAACTAAAATTTGTTTTACAATACTATAAAATAATTTCATAACAGAAATTAAGTATAAATCAATAAGTTATTACTAAATCTGACTAGCAACTACATTTATTATTTCAAAATTTCTTCTCTTTCACCCAGAACAGATTTTTTTTTCAGATTTCTAAATGATTTCTAAATCAGCTGATATATAACTTCATTTGTACTACTTTTGTATGAAATATTATCATTTTATGATATAAGTATCAAACAACATAAGAGATGAAAATCATTTTACCATATCTTTTGCAATCCATGCATGTACATTTGCTCAACTGTTAAATCATTCATTTCCCAAAATATACTAATTTGCCTACACAATGTTTTCAACATCTCCTACATTTACTCTTTTGTAAATTAAAAATGCATCTTGTTTTAAAAAAAAAAGAATCTTTGGCATTTCATTGCTGGTTGCATAGTCCACCAAATATTACGAGGAAATGAAAATGCAAATTTCTATGACATTTAAAAGTACTGCCATAATAACCAGAAAAAATGAATTCAACATCTACAAATGCTGCCACTGTAGCACCTGATCTGCTGTGTGAAATGCAATGAATATTTTCCTTACATAACCGTTAAAATCTCTAAATTAAGCTCTCCTAATATGAAAGATGAGCAAGTTTGCAATCAATTTGTTTTCTTTCATGTCAAACCTATACACCCATAGAAGATTGGAGGCAGATTGGATTACGAGTATATTATTTCCTACATATTGCTTTTCCCGACTTAATTTGAGCGTTTCTCAGTCCCCTTCACCATCAGACGAAACATAAACAATCTTCTTGGGTTCGTGTTGATCTATAACTTCCGCTAACTGTTCGTGCTGTCGTAATTTTTTCACAGTCTTTTGAAGCACTGTTTTCATTCTGTCATTTTCAGTATTGGCAGCTTGCCAAACAATCTCCAACTCATCCTCCACCTCCCTGTAAAATAAATATTCTCCTGCTTCAAATTTGTTATTTGATCTTTCCCTGACATAACAAAGACGATGGTATGTATCCGTGACTGACCTTTTTTCTGTGGCTATATTGTGAGTATCAATGACTGACCATTTTTCTGAGGCTATTTTGAGAATATGTAAGACTGACCTTTTTTCTCTGGCTATATCATGAGTATCAGAGACTGACATTATTTTTGTGTTTATATCACGAGAATCCAATACTAACCTGTTTTCTCTGGCCATATATTGTGATTTTAGAGACTGGCCTTTTTCTGTGGCTATATCATAAGTATGAGAGACTGACCTTTTTCTGTGGCTATATCATGAGTATGGGAGACTGACCTTTTTCTGTGGCTATATCATGAGTATGAGAGTCTGGCCTTTTTCTGTGGCTATATCATGAGTATGGGAGACTGACCTTTTTCTGTGGCTATATCATGAGTATGGAAGACTGACCTTTTTCTGTGGCTATATCATGAGTATGGGAGACTGGCCTTTTTCTGTGGCTATATCATGAGTATCAATGACTGGCCTTTTTCTGTGGCTATATCATGAGTATCAATGACTGACCTTTTTCTGTGGCTATATAATGAGTATGGGAGACTGGCATTTTTCTGTGGCTACATCATGAGTATGGGAGACTGACCTTTTTCTGTGGCTATATCATGAGTATCAATGACTGACCTTTTTCTGTGGCTATATCAAGAGTATCAATGACTTACCTTTTTCTGTGGCTATCATGAGTATGGGAGACTGGCCTTTTTCTGTGGCTATATCATAAGTATGGGAGACTGGCCTTTTTCTGGGGCTATATCATGAGTATGAGAGACTGACCTTTTTCTGTGGCTATATCATGAGTATGGGAGACTGACCTTTTTCTGTGGCTATATCATGAGTATGGGAGACTGACCTTTTTCTGTGGCTATATCATGAGTATCAATGACTGACCTTTTTCTGTGGCTATATCATGAGTATGGGAGACTGACCTTTTTCTGTGGCTATATCATGAGTATCAATGACTGACCTTTTTCTGTGGCTATATCATGAGTATGGGAGACTGGCCTTTTTCTGTGGCTATATCATCAGTATCAATGACTGACCTTTTTTCTGTGGCTATGTCGTGAGTATCAATGACTGACCTTTTTTCTGTGGCTATATCATGAGTATCAATGACTGGCCTTTTTCTGTGGCTATATCATGAGTATCAATGACTGACCTTTTTCTGTGGCTATATCATAAGTATGGGAGACTGACCTTTTTCTGTGGCTATATCATGAGTATGGGAGACTGACCTTTTTCTGTGGCTATATCATGAGTATGGGAGACTGACCTTTTTCTGTGGCTATATCATGAGTATCAATGACTGACCTTTTTTCTGTGGCTATGTAGTGAGTATGGGACACTGACCTTTTTCTGTGGCTATATCATGAGTATCAATGACTGAACTTTTTCTGTGGCTATATCATAAGTATTGGAGACTGACCTTTTTCTGTGGCTATATCATGAGTATCAATGACTGACCTTTTTTCTGTGGCTATATTGTGAGTATCCAATAATGACAATTTTTCTGTGGCTGTTTTGAGAATATGTAAGACTGACCTTTTTCTGTGGAATATGTAAGACTGACCTTTTTCTGTGGCTATATCATGAGTATGGGAGACTGACCTTTTTCTGTGGCTATATCATGAGTATCAATGACTGACCTTTTTTCTGTGGCTATGTCATTAGTATCAATGACTGACCTTTTTTCTGTGGCTATGTCGTGAGTATCAATGACTGACCTTTTTCTGTGGCTATGTCATGAGTATCGGACACTGACCTTCTTTCTGTGGCTATGTCGTGTAGATTGTGATCCTTCTCTTGTAGAATCAAACGTAGGTGATTTATTTCTCGCTCGTACTCTTTCTTCTGGTTTGTAAACACTTCATCTTGTTCTTTTAACCTACAATCCAAGTTTATAATATTAATATCTAAACATGCACATGTTTTCACAAGTCTGAAAAATCTAAAATGCATGAAGTATGCTATTACCTTCCAGCAACTGTGTTAATTTTAGCAGCAGCTTTAAGCTTGTACAACTATAAATAGAAAGTAATATCATGTGAAATTATAATCAAAGCACACAAAGAGTCAGTAGAACTTCATGCCAGTTTTCTTTTAAAAATTACAATAAAAGATTTTGACAGTTAACTATATGAACCTTTAGCTTTTCCTCCATTTTGCCCTTTGACACACTGTTCTGAAGCATTTTATTCATGGCCTTCTTTGTCTCTGTTTCTCGATCCTTAATCTACAAATAAATAGAAATTAACTACCATACACTCTGAATGTAACTGTTCTCAAATGAGAATAAAAAGTGAAATATTCCACAAAACAAGCTTGAAACCATATCTTACAGCTTTTGCAAAAGAATCTCTCTCATATGCTGTTTTCTCTGCCTGAAAAGAAATTATAAAATCGTTATGAGTTTTACAATTACACCTTATTATAATTCTACAACTTCCTCAAATAAACCATCTTTCTAATCCCTGATAAAATCCTATCATCTGTAACTTAACCCTACCACTTTGATGACAGAAGCCAGCTGATCCTGGACGTTCTGTTCCTTTAATTCCGACTGATCTATGGCTTTCTGCAGGTACACCATCTTACTCTGCGCTTTCCTGTTAACATCAAACACTCAACAGTAAACTTAGACAGTATAAAAATGATAGCAAATACATGCATTTTAATAATCAATGACAAATTGCTCAAGGTTCTTTTATCTGCATTACTTATCTGAAGAACAGAATTCTAAACAAACCTGATAGCTTTCCTCATGGCCCGAAGTTCAGCTTGGCACCTTTTGTTTTCTGCTTGTAATTCCACAAAATTCAAAGTCTGAGTTCTTCTTTCTTCTTGTATAGCCTAGACACAATTATATAAGACTAGTTTGTAGAAATAGGAAAATTACACTGGTACTCAATTATTTCCTTCAAATGGTATTTTTAAGTGCAAGTAAGGTATAGGAAATACTGTATTAACCAACTTTTATTCGCGACGACTTTATTTCGCAAATTACCGGGTGTAAACTAGTTTACGACGATTAATTTTCGCAAGCAAGCCGTTTTTGGAAATGTTTTTATATGCTTCGGCGAGAAAAGATGACATTCGCAAAAAAAATAAAAGTTGGTTTACAGTAAATATTTTAATACATATATGTACTTCTAAAGAGTAACATATAAGAGAAGTAATTTAAATTCTAACCTGGATTTTTATTTTCAGATTTTGAACCTCTTGATGATAATTTTCTTCTTTTTCTGTAATGTTCCTATTAAAGAAAATTCAAAATTCACCAAGAAGTACACAGTTATCAGATAAACATGTAGATGTTGAATTAAATCCCTTGTCTGCATCTTCCACACATGTACAAGTTGTATATTGTGTAAGTTGGGAGAGCAATGGTGTTACCTTTTGAGTTCTGCTATGGTGTTGATATAGGATTCCGCTGAGCTCTGTCCTTGGTTCTCCAGAACCATGGCATCATATTTTGTTTTCAGTTCTTTATATCGCCTCTTAATTTCTTCCAAGTCCTGATCTTGGTCGGCCTTTTCAGCTTTCATTAGCACCAACTGTTTGGTCACCTTAGACACTGAAAATATTTCTCTTATATTAATTTAATACAACATCTTTGTCCAGAACTAATTCACATATCATCATCATAAATCAGGAAAACTTTGTTCTTATTAAGAACTCCTGATTCTGGACTGTACAAATTTTGATACCTTCCTGCATGTGTGCCTGGTGCATGTCCTGGGCTTTCTGATCCTTAACTTCAATCTGCTCAAGTAAATTCTGGTTCTCTTCCAGAACCAGTCTAGCATTCTCTTTCAAATTTTCCCTGTAAACAAAAGGGAGAAAATTTAAAACCTAGAAAAATCAAAACAATTTTCAATCCATACCGTATGTTAAACTACAAAATTGTGCCTTAATATTTTCCACAGATTTAAAATCATTGTTCTTGGGTTATCAATGCTTGTTGGTTCCATGGGTCTCTCTATCCAATGAATTTATATCCCCATGAACAGAGAAAAAAGAAACTTACCAGTCATTCTGGTCTACTGGATTTTCCGTCTGAATTCGTTCAAACTTTTCCTGTAGCTGCTGGTTCTCTGTCACAATGTCCTCAGCCTGTAGCTTCAACTTCTCAATCTCCAACTAAAAACACAAACATTAAGCTTATATTTCTCAATATCCTAGTAGAAAACACAAACAAACATAGGAAAAGAGAAACACAAGAATTTAACATATTCTCCGATGAATAAAAGTCCATTGATGGTACTGAGAACCTACCTGGTATCTCTTAATGATCTTCTCTCTTTCCTCTAGTCTATCATCATAGGCCAGGAAGAGGGGAGACAGATACTTGGTATTTATCTGAAAAATATATTTGAAGAATCAGTATTACTAACACAAGTTACTACCAATAATTTAACGTGATTCTCCTTCAAATTTTCACTTGAATCATATGAGAATATCTTACCAGCCAGGATGGACATGGCCCCTTATTTGGCAGACCCAGTAACTCTGAAGCTATCTGTAACAAAGGAAAAATTTAATTGTCTCAATTGTGATCATTTATCGCGTGACGTGAAAATTGTATTTCTTACAAATGGACAAGTAATTTTTTTAATCTTTAATAAATTCATAAACACATTAATACAGATCACAAATGGAAAAGAGAAATGTGTTTAAATCAAATAAATTCCATTTCCTATTTAATTATTACCGCTCGTTCCTCAGGTTTGAGAACTCTGCTCTTTGTCTGTAGCTCACTAAACTCTTTGTTCAGTCTGTATATGGTATTCTTGTAAACTTCATTCTCGTCTTTCATGTCTGTCAACTGCTTCTTCAACAACAGGGTAGCAGCAGTGTCTCGATCTACACAAAAAAAACCCCCAAAAATCTTCAGTCATATGGCATACAATTTACGTTATTTTCAAACAGATCACTCTTGATTTATTTCAAAATACTGCAAAACAGCTTAGATGATAATTCCAGTAAAAACTGACAACTCTACCTACCCCCTTTTTCTAGGGCTGCCGTGACCTGCCTGAATGTTGTCACCTCCTCTTCTAATGATTCATTGATGGAGCGTAGAAGAGCGTTTTGACCCTCCAGTCCTCTCTGCTGTTTGTCTGTGCTGCGCGCCGTGTGTATTTCTGATATACTGCGGGCTGTATTAGATCCCGACTGTCGACCAGAACGACGGGGGGAAGGACTAGCCCCTGACACACAGAAAACAGGGATTACATTTATTGATTTAAAATTTGTTCCTTTAATCATTAATAATTCTATTACAATTTAATCGACTAAAAAAATATTTGAAGATCTCTACAGATTCAAAAACAAGGTTTCATATTTAAGACATTTTGACAAAAAATTATTATGTTGGTTTTCAAAATTTGAAATTTATATCAAGAAAAGTTTTGTTAATGTTTTTCAACTCTGAACACATTTTAAAAAATGTTTTTGAAATTATACCAGATTTATCATCAGTTTCCTCTGGTTTTGTTTGGTCTTCTGTTGAGGATTTGACCAGAATTTCCTCTTGTATTTCTGTTTAAAGCAACACATAAAACAAGGAAGAGGTTTAGACACAGCAGGACATGTGCTACAGTTAGAAAGTGCTAATTGAATTAATTATCTAGAAGGGAAAAAACAACAATGTAAGTAAATAGAAACACTATAAACTTTAAATCTTAAAAGGTGATTGTCCAAGAGGTTCATGGTCCATAATGCTCACCAGCATCACATATTTTTCTTTTTCAGGGGCCAGTTTTCAGATTACTTTGACTTCTACTGGACTAGCTGTTTGTGAATTTTTTAAATATATTTTACTATCTTTTATCAAATGAAACCTGTATCCCCTTTTGAGGACCCATACTAGCCTTGGAAGGTCATAACATGTTATAATAAAAAAATGTCTTCTAAACAATAAAGCACAGAGCTTTATTATGGCCACATCCTATATTTACAGTAGCTCTAGGCACTTATTATTTTCATCATGCTGCTGTTCACTCAAAAAGGCTAAATCAATATTCCTGATTTTTGGCCCAGTAGTTCTTGTAGAGGCATTTTTCTGCACTGTCTTATAATCATCTTTTCTTGTTAGAGCTGTAGTGTCCCACTTGAAGAAGCTTAACCCCCTTCATCTGTAGAATCTGATTTTTTTTTTACCAAATTTGGTAAAAATTTGTTAAGTAGAATGGGAGAAAAGTCAACAAAATTAAAGAGTCTACAAACAACATGATAGATAGACAGACAGCTATTACATTGAGACTGAGTTAACAGGACATCAAAACTGCCAGTGCATGGAAAAACAACATTGTTTACAAAAAAACAACATTAAGAGGAAGAGTGCAGGTAAATTCAGAATTCTGTAGGTTGTAAATTTTATATAGAGGCTTACCTCTTGGTGTGGAATGTCTTCCTGGTTTCTCCACTGGAGTAGGGGCTCTCTCTATAGTAACTGTTGTTACCTTCATATGAAAAGTTTAGTTTGTTAAAATTTACAATTTCATGCATATTTGCTAAAAGTATTTTTTTACATTATATTTTTGTAAAATTTCAATTTAAGATTCTTCATTAATGATCCATTTCCACAGAGTGTTTTTCAAGTTTAATTACTGCCTACCTTCTGTGTAGTCTGTAAAATAAAGAAAGTATAACATTAATGACTCATATTGACGACAATATTCACGAAAATTAAATGAATTTTTTTTTTAATTATAGAATCACTTTGATGTGATTTCTTTTAAATCTAGAGTTCCTCTATCTTAACCCTATTTACAGGGTTTGATTTTTATTACCATTTCCTCCTGAATTTCGTCGGAGTCTGGGTCTATAACTTGTCGGTACGCCTCCCGTACTCTCTGGCCGGTCTGTTGAAGTGTCGCATCCTCTGCTTGACTGGTTCTCTATCAATGAAAAAATTCAGTTAACTTAATGAGATATCTCCATAAAGTATTAGTTAAAATAAAATTATCTACAGAAATGAAACTAATATGAACTGAATTAATATTGAAAAATTTACTTTTGTCAAAAAAAGTTGAAAATAACTAGGAGCTCATACCTTTCCTCTTTTGACAGGTTTAGCATACAATGCACTCCTGTCCTCAATGTCTTCCTGTTTTTCCAGTGTGTGGTAAAACTGACCTGAATGTGATACAAAATTGCTCATTTTATAATTACCCGGTAGTATATGAAGTCTAAAATTACATATAGAAACAAAAAAATCAAATAAGAAAGTTCATATTTTTGGTTACTGCCAATAATTAGGTTACTGTGTAATTAAACAGATTTATAAATCGTTTACCGGGTATTTCCTCGTCAATAGCATGCTCTCGGAGACTTGAGGGACCCGGTACAGGAGCTGGCTCTCTGTCAGAGTAACTTATTCTCTTTCTGCTTCCACTGGCTTGTCCAAACTCTACCGAGGAGTACCTGTTAAACAGTCAAATTGACATCCTTAATTAATTACTCATTGCATTAATGGCAATATGTTTAAGCATATAAGAAAATTATACGTGTAAGCTTGGAAGAAATATTAGATTTTTTTTTTAACTTTTTAAAAAAGATTATCAATATATATTTTTAAAACATTATATTAATATTATATGTTAATCAACATCTTTAATCTTTGGTCACCAATTTGTGTAAATTAAGCTTTTAAGGAGTTTTTAAAAGTACAATAATGAAGCTGTCACACAAACAAACACTAAATTGTAAATACAGAAATAAACAAAATCTAAAAATACAATGGTATAACAACTGGAAAGAAAAACTATCCAACAAGATAAAATTAAGTCTTCAACATGTAACGAGATGAACCTATTTTCTCTTGGAGTACTCGATACAGAAAAAGACTTAAATGATCCCACAGGAGCAGTGGACAGAGAAAAGGACTTGTAGGATCCCAAGGGAGTACTGGATCGCTGCTCTTTGAGTACTGTCCTAAGCTTGGGAGTCTTTGATTGAAGCTTTCTGACAAATTTTATACAACAAAATAATCTTTTTGGAAAACAAGTGATTTTGTAAATTTTTAACGAGTTTATTTTTTTATTTTCTTTTTCATTCAATTTCACTTTTAATTGCAGGACATTAAACTAGCCATCTAGGAGTACCTTGAAGCTAATGCTTGAACAATCCTGCAACAGTTTGTAAATGATATCTTAAGATTAGGTACATATACATGTACAATAACACAATGACTAGTCCTCATACTCATTTCTTTTATAGCTAAATTATTATTTCAAAAATTGTGCAAATTCTTACCCAGCCTCCTCCATGACCTGGTAGTCATAGAGACTACTTTCCGGGTCACTGAAGGGGTCGTCGTCTGCTGTTGGAGGATTCATGGCTCTGGCTTTAGCGAGCAGTGAAGCGTTCAGTGTCCCTGAGGAGGAAGCCAGAGCAATGTTTGTATCAGGTGGGGGATCGGGGCCGGGAGTTCGTGGGACGACAGCAAAGGCAGCTGAGGGAATCAAACCCGAGGAAATGTTACCCTGAAATATGTGTGAGGTCATGCATATAAAATGGTAACATCAAACTTGTGCAAACATTGTATATTTTTTTCTTAAATCAATTCTCAATATTGATGCTGAAAAGCGTCTTTGTTTACAAATTCACTCAGATTTAACATAATCAAAGACTTGACATCTAAAATATAATATCAATTTATATATTGCTTTAAAATATTAATTTTTTCATATTAACGTTAATTTGTACACTCTCAATTCAAGCATGTGAAACAATATTATTTTGCATTTTCACTTTATATAACTTCAAACTTTTCAAATGCATGCATTTTAAATTCTAAGTGTATAAAGTACATGCACTGGAATATAATTTTAACAATTTTTGAAAAATACAGATAAGGCAGGTTTATAATAAACAAAAGAGATTCCTAATAATTTGTATAACATTTTTAATTTTTTTTTTTTTATATGATGCATTATTTGCTACTTCTAGTTTCAGATCAAATCAGTTTATTTTAACATTTAATATTCTGTTTTTATCTAACAATGAACCTGCATAAAAAAGCCCTGCTTAACAATGAATGTACTAACTACTAAACTATAATTGTTAAAGTTGGAGATAAGCTTCAAACATTACTTTACCTCTACACACTCCCTTTCTGTAAAGGTAATCATGGTTATGTACTTGTATTTTTACTTATTTTGAATTTGAACACTCTTTAAAGGGACATACACTTGTACACTGATTGATACATGTACCTGGGAGTACCTTAATAAAGAATGCACTTGTAAAATTAAGGGGCTTTTTCCCTACACTCCTGCTAAATCATTTGTAAATGAATGCATATTTAAAGAACTATTCACAAACCGCAATATCGCCAGATCCATCTTCAGTAGTCTTTTATCAAATCTACACATGTATATAAGAGTTATTATCCTGTTCACATTAAAGTAAGACCTGCTGCCATCCCAGTCCACATCCAAATTATCAGATCCTGCTACTCAAAATGCATATTTCCCCTGGAATTTTATTTTATATTAACTAACAGAATAAAATCCAAATACTTTATCAACAGCGCTTTTCCATTTAGACTTTATGAGCAAGCTTAAATTTGTATCATGTGCTGAATGTGCAGTTAATTCACTATCATAACTAAAAATATAAATTCACTATTACTTGCGTTTCTATTCTTATTATTACATTATTTTTAAATAATTTAAATTAAAATTTTAAACTAAAATAAATTTAAATTTAAAACATTGATAGAAATCAATATTGACAAAAATGGTTTAATTCCTGATAGTACTATTATCTGATCTAACACACAGTCAGTAGATGATCATGTGATCTTGTTCTTGATCTTGTGGACTTTATATAATTTTTACAATGAATAATTATCATGATTATAGAACTTTGTGAAAAATTTAGTGCAAAATGACCAAAATTCATAAAGCCTCTGGGAAAGTGGGAGTTTGGCAAAGCAGAATCTAGACCTATTTAATATAAATTATATGACTTAGTTATGAATGCTGACTACTGAAGCAGAGAAACAGCACAATATTTTGTGTTATGTGGCTGATTCACAACAATTTTATTACCCAGTGTGAGGAATATGCTTTATCTGGTCGATGATAACAACTTGAAAACTATATAAAAAAGGAAACAGAACTTTGAATGCGACCATTAGATACAAGTCTATTTAAATATCATACCAATAATAGTGAAATAAAAATTAATATCGAAGTCATTAACAAAAAGGAATACTCTGAATGAGGCATATAAAAATTCAAATATACAATTCCTTTACTATCTGATATTTCTATTCTACCTATTGAGTCACTGATTCATATTAAAATTGACCATGCTATATCCAGTACATGCACCTTTATAGTAATCAATATTAAATGAAAAAGGGGGGAGTATAATTTTGTCATTTGAGGACCACTTCACTCTGGGTTAAGTTGATTTCAAAAAGCTAACGGTACCTAATGACATCATTCATAATCAGTGTGTTAAAAATGAAACGCTTTTAGTAATTAACTAATTGGTTGATATATCACAGTGTGGATGCAGTTTGCTTAAATTTACCTGAGTTAACCGATCTAATATGCTTTAATATAGTTTTGCAGCTAGCATGCACTCACATTCTGTAAACCATAACAAATCATGAATTCATACATGTGATTCTTCCGGCGGGAGGCAAAATCTCACGATTTTTAACCCCCCTTCCGCCCCTCCCGATTTATTTTTAAATCTTCCGTGTTTAAAATAATTCTTCAAATTAAATATATTTTGCATAACTTTTTATCATGTTTCTTATAATTGCTTAGAATGACAATACATTGAGATAACAACGGCAGAGCAATAAATTTTCACAGCGGTAGGCTTCGTAGTAATCAACATGAGGTCGTATAATTCGATTGTAAAAATTAGTGCTAATCAACTTGATAAATGACCATCGATGTTTTATTGCTGAATGTAGAACATTGTAATTAGTTGCTAAAATACCCAATTGCCATCTTCTAATGGTGCAGTGGTCATTAACAGATACAGTTATACTTTTGACTTAAGTTAAAAATAGATCAAACTACAGGGTGTTGCTAAAAAATATACCTGACTCTACATGTACTTTCACTTTGTTGTATTTTTAGAGAAATGATTTTTTTAAATCTCTTTAATATTCTATTTAAAAAAATTACTGACATAAAATATGTTACATAAAACCTATGATTTTCTTCACTTACTGCAAAAAAATATACTTCACTCTACTTTAATGTATTTTTTAGAGAAGTTAATTTTATCTTTTCATAATCTATTTAAAAACAAATTAATGGCATAAAATATAAGATCTATGTATGTTTTACTTCACTTACTGGTTGATATATCAATACCAAATAAAAAATAAAATTTTATTCAATGTTTTAATGATGATGTTACCTCTTAATTAATTTCAATGAATTAATTTAATTTTGATTTAATTTCACTTCTGATCATTTGACTAAAAATTTAAACATATTATTTTAAAGCAAACCTTTATGAAATAAAAACAATTTTAAGTAATAAAGAGGGAGACTGCATTTTCTAGGGAGTTGGATGGTCTTTGAACAATTTAAAAAATGTCGATAAAAAATCTCCAGCTTTGAGACCCAAACTCCAGCTGAAAAATTTCAAATCTCCAGTTGTGATTGTTCAGTTCTGTCACATGTATGTGAATTATAATTTTTTTCCCTACATATAGCAAATTCAGCGGTTTTATCTTTGAAATGAGACCGGCATCTGCATACCTGATAAATGTCATCTTTGAAAAAGAAAGGATAAATCTCGAAAATGAAATTTTATATAAAATATGTAATTTCTGTAAGATAAAGCAATGCAATATAAATCTACAAGAGATAGTTTACATGACAGATTAGTTTACATGTAGACTATATTCCGGGAGGTCAGTTTGCCAAACAAGCTCGGGCACGATGTATCGAATTCACCGCCATCTAAAATTCTTATCTTCTTTACGTGCAAAATTCTGATCATGGGAAGCAAAACAAAGAAAAGACATTCGATGCTATATTGCATCATTGTTTTTGTGCATTGAAGACACATACCAGGCTAGAACCCTTCCCTTTGCCTTTCCTGCCAGTTTTCCCTGCCATTCCGAATCATGAATCCAGTGTAAACAGTTTTGAATGCGCATGCCCAATTCCTTTTTCAAATTGAATAGGTCGCTCCTAATAATTTCGGGTTCGACTTTTTACCCCCCCCCCCTTGCAATGAATTTGGGATGTTAATTCATTTGAAGACATGATTAATGAATTAATAATAGGCAAATGTTTGTATGCATATCTATACATGTATGTGTGTGAACTGGTAGAGTTCCCTCTTCAAGTTCAACCGAATAATTGTGCTCATATCTTGATTCATGATCTTGTTTTTGTTGAGGTTTTAAAATGTTCACTGATGTAATCAATTTAAAACTTTAGATCTCTTTTTTTGATCCGGCAAACCCTACCATCGGGGATCATGATTTGAACAATTGAATCAGGCGCGGATCCAGAAATTTTTTCCAGTCAAAAAATGACTTCTATTGCCTCAAATCTTTCACTTTTCATACCAATTTCACACCTATTCGCGTTTACCGGGGGGGGGGGGGGTCAGCGTTCTCCAAGGGGGGTCCATGGTAACTTTTTAACCTTGTAAATTCCAGGGGGGGGGGGGGTCCTGACCCCCGACCCCCTCTAGATCCCCGCATGTGAGTATACTCTATATGGGGATTGGCTTATTATCTACTGTTTTACGTCGTTTCGGCAGCAATTCGGTTATATTTCGTCGATCATATTTTCGGATTAGATGCCATCGGGAGTAAGCATGGGCTTAGGAAGAAGCGATCCTTTAGTCCCAACTAATAACAATCCAGGACCTCGTCGATCATGCTCGTCATGAGTATTGAAACAACACCCGGGTTGATGCAGTGCTGCTGGACTTTTCCAAAGCATTTTACACGGTTCCACATGAGTGACTGCTCGCCAAACTAGTCCACTACATGTGTATGAGGCAGTCAACTGTGAACACGATTAGATCCGGACCAAGTTTCATGTTTGGCCGAACGCAAAAGGTACTGATCGAGGGCCATTTTTCACCAACCGCACCTGTTACATCCGGAGTGTCCCAAGGAACGACCCTCGGCCCACTGCTTTTCTTGTTATATATTAACGATCTACCTTTCAGAGTGAGATCCAAGGCCAGGTTATTTGCGGACTACTGTCTGCTGTATAGGACCATCGCTACAGAGGACAATGACAGGCAACTCCAGATGGACCTCGACAACCTCCAAAACTGAGAAGCAGTCAAGCAGACTAGATTATGCGTTTCAACCTACACAAGTGTGAGTTTATCCGTATCACCACCAACTGGAAGCAACGCATTACACCATATTACATCCAAGGAAAGGAGCTGGCCTTTACCAGCAAGGCCAAGTACACAGGGGTAAACATCTCCAACAACCTTTCGTGGAACCATCATATCGATAGTGTTTGTAAGAAAGCAAACAACACCATGGCCTTCTTATGGAGGAACCTCATATATCTTATGGAGAAAGTCAAACAGGGGTAGCCACAAGGTGTCATCAAACACCGGTACAGGATCCCATTCTGACTAACCACCGTCTACAAGAAATCATTCTTTCCTACCACCATCAGGATATGGAACCAGCTACCCGGATACACCATCATGGTCATGTCCGAAAAGTCCTTCTAAGATATAAAGCATCTGAAAGGAAGCAGGACATGTTATTATCAGTTTTTAAATTGTAAATATGGGTAGATGTGTGGACTTCCTCTCCCAAACACGTTTTAATCAAAGTGATTAAAAGTGATCAAAGTCAATTTTCCACTATTAATTCCTTTGTAAAAAGTGAGACTGAGATCAAAAGTGCGCTCATCTAAGTTTTATGGCCCCCAGGCCTGGTGACAGCACTCATCAAGATCAAACTGAAAGAAGCCGAGGCAGGGCCTAATACATGTACTCAAGCGCGTTTTGACATTCACGGACTGAGGAAGAACACCGTGAAAGCTGCCTTCATCAGCGATTAAAGAAACAGATTGCGAATCTTGAAAGATAAATTGGATGAAGGTGAGGAGACCATCGTGGACAACACATGGAAGCATGTGTCTAAATTGTACACTGAAAGCAGCAAAACGAAACTATACCTTCGCAAAAGAAACACCAACAAAGACGGAATCCAGCAGGAGACTCTGATTGATATAGAGGAGAGAAAGGCAATCAAGAAAAAAGAAAAGTCCCCATGACTGCATGAGAGGCAAGAGGAGCTGTATAGTGAGACCAACAAGTGAGTCAAGAAGCTTGCAATCCCTGATAAGAGAGAAACCATGGGGCAACTTGCAGCTGAGGCAGAGGAAGAGGCAGCACGGGGAGAGCAAGGGAGAGTATAAAAGATCACAAAAATAGTGTGTGTTAAAGTTAGAGGAAACACAGGAGGACAAACGAGGAATACTGCTGACAACAGAAATAGAACAAGACTGTTCTGAACAGGACTGAAAACTTTCACGAAGTACTTAGTCGACCATTACCTGATGAAGCAGTTGTCATACCAGTTGTCACAGAGGATCTGGACATCGACACTGACCTACCAACTAAGGATGAGATAATGGATGCAATCAAGACCCTTAAGAACGGGAAGTCAACGGGGCGAGACAATCTTGATGCAGAGCCATTTAAAGCAGACCATGGAATAGCAACCACCATCCTTTAACCACTGTTCACAGCTGTATGGGATGGAGAAAAAGTACCTGATGACTGGTGTAAAGGGGTGACTGTCAAGATCCCAAAGAAAGAAGCTCTACGAGAGCGATTGTATCAACTGGAGGGGTGTCACTCTTTGGTCCGTGCTGTATTGAGGATAGAGCAAGCAGGATTAAGGAAACATCGAGTATGTACTGACCAGATCTTTGCACTCTGCAACATCAGTGCGAAGAGTGACAAAGACAACTTCCTGGATTTTAAAAAGGCATTTGACAGCATACACCGAGATAGCCTTTGGAGCATCTAAAGTCATTATAGTATTCTTTCCAAACTGGTCCACCTGATCAAGAACCTTTATAACTTTAGATGCTCAGCAGGAGACAATGACACATTCTTCAATGTTAAAAGTGGAGTCAGACAAGGATGCATATAATGTCTGCAGTATTATTCAACTTGGTCATCGATCGGGTCATGCCGAAGACACCAGAAGACTCTCCATGGGGGATCTGCAGGGACCTGTTCTCAACTTTGAAGGATCTGGACTTTGCGGACGACCTTGAACTAATGTCTCGAACACACCAGTAAATCCGAGAAGACCCACAGACTGCAGACCAAAGGATAGCAGGTGGGTCTACTCATAATTACGAAGAAGACGGAGACAATGACATTTAATGTGGAATTGCATGCTTCTGTTAATGCCAATGGTGAAGAACTACGCCCGGCAGGCAATACAATTTTATTTACCTTGGAAGCATCATTAATCCAGAGGGCGGCACAAAGGAGGACATTCACAGCAGACTGGGTAAGGCCCTGGCCCCGGGATCATGAAACATCTCAAGCTTGTCGTGGAAGTCATCTCTAAATCAAAATATTTCTTCACATTGTTTTCCAAAATTGTTGTTATCTGCAAGTTTAGAGTTTAATTTAATAATTAATAAACATTTTACAGGCAGTTGAAAATTTGACTCAAGTCTAAGTCTGTTTCATGATCCCTGGTCCAGGAGAGTATTTAGAGAAAATAATAACATCTTAAGGTCTAGTATAGCACCAGCACCATGCCAAAGTTTTACCAGAGCTGTGTTGTTTCAACTCTCCTAAATGGATCGGAATGCTGAAGAATAACAGATACATATCTGAGCAGATTACAATTCCTCCCCATCACATACCTCCGCCAAATACAAATGAAGACCTGTTGAGCAGGTGCGAACAAGAGGATATGGGTACAATCATTACCAAACGGCGATGGAGATGGATTGAACATATTTTACGAAAAGACCCAAAGTCATCAACAAGAATAGCACTGCACTGTACCCAGAGGGCAAAAGAAAGTGAGGGAGGCCATGCAAGAACATCATGGCGAAGGACAGTTGAAAGCGAGATAAAAATCATGCACCAGACATAGGGATCATTGACGCGGCTGGCCCAGGATACACAAGAGTGGAGGAAGTTTGTTGTTGTCCTACACACCACAGGAAGATGGTTCTGATGTAGCTGAATTAAAATGAACTTATTTGTTGTAAAATATTCAAATATGAAACAGATACTAGTATGTCAGACTGTGGTATATTTTATTTCAAGTTCACTGGTATATATGGAGTCGATGAATGGCCATGCGCTACTGTAAATTGATAACACAATGACCAATGACAAGGTAAGAATATTTACAAGTTCAATTTTCATTAAAGATTCTCCTTTATTGCTGTTAATACCAAAGTGAGGAGTAAAAAAAGGGGCTTCGTATGTATCTTTGTAAGGATTTTATTACGTATAGGAATCAAGTATAGATATGCTGATTCAAATGCATATTTGTTGAGTATTTTAAATCTATATACACGTATATGACATGTGGTTCTGACTAAATACAAAACCCACAATTTTCTTCCTTTAACTAATTTTAACACAAATGCAGATGTTCACAATTACAGAAAATATAACACTATGAGACTGAGCAAAATGCCGATCTGTATCTTTCTTTTAGTTCCAATGAAATTTGAGAAAGAAAGCAATTAAATATTTTTATAAATGTGTTTGCATTTTGAGTTAAAATACTACATCAGGCGAATCAGTTATGGTATTATTGTACAATAATTGGTAACGCATCCAAGGTAACATCAACTCTGTCATATATCAACGCTGGCCGGTAATGCTCTCATTTTCTCCCTTGAAATAAAGAAAAAAAGATTTGAAATACAGTTATAATCCAATTACATTTGTTGTAACTCTACAATGAAAATCAAGTTACCTTTGGTTCCAGCTGTTAAACTTTGAGGGCATCCATGCGTCACTTCCGCCGTAGTCATCGGAATACTCCACGATACTTATACGAGACTCTCCTAATAGAAAAGCATAAGTATAATCATGGATAACTTAAAAACAAATGACAACTGTCAAAAATTAAAGCACAAATTACTTATCATAAATTGTACTCACTTCTATCTTCACTTTTTTCATAATTTTCGCCTTTATGAGAATGGACTTGTTTCTTTCCACAACTTAAAATTTAAAAAAAGAGAATTTAAAATTCAACGTAAGCTACTTAGTATATGTATACGGAGATTTCATCGATACAATTCTACTCCACTATAACATACTTGCTGCACCACGGTTTCTTGGAGACGACATAGCCGTATTTACAGAAGCGATAAAGACAAATGGCAGCCAACCCCAGCAAAATGGCCAAGATTACCAAAACTGCGGCGAACCACGCCACCGTGTTTGGGTCATCGAAAAAAGGACTGCTCGATCCTTGCTGAACGTTGACCGTGACGGTCACGGATGATTCCCTGTTGCCCTTGTCTGTGGCTTTGATGACGGCATATAACTTGGTGCTGTTTTCGAACTGCTTCAGTGATTTGGCAGTGGTAAGCAGTGCGTTACCATTGATATCAAAATACTGGTAATCCAGTTCTGGTTTGACGGAGTAGCTGATCTGATTGTAAATGGGTCCATAGTCGTTGTCTAAGGCAGTGATGTAAGCAACAGAAGACAGCACGGGAACGTCATATATCACGCTGACGTGATACTGGCCGCTTGGGAAATACGGTGTCTGGTTGTTGTCGTCCGTGATTGTCACTGACAATGTCGTTGTTCCTGTTAGTGACATAAAATAGAAAATACGATTCTTTAGTTTCTTGCTAAAAAGTAAACGACCAGATGAGAATGTACGTTTTTTCAGAACTCAAAACGAAGGTGCTAGTTCGGAGGAATACAGAACATCCCTCATGGGGTGTATATATAAAAATACATCAACAGGAAGTCAAGTCATTACCAGTGTGCAAGATTTTCTTATGCTCCAAAGACCAGCATGACCAGGGTATGTCAAATTACAAAATGGATAGGGGGCTAGAATGGGACAACAATAGAGGCACTAAGGTTAATCTAAATATATACCACTGTAGAAAAAATGTGTTAAAATCGAGGCGATCGTCACCGAGGAACTCGTATGCAATTATCTTTAAATAACAGACTGGTACCACGATAAAAGATAGAACTAACAAGACAGCATTCATTGGTATTTGAGATTCAGTTCCAGTACAATTGGGCTTTCGGGTTCCTAAACCCTTTGCTAAAGTGTCCAAGAACACAATTTTGCTAGTTTTTGTAAATAAAATAAAAATTACCACTTGCTCCCGACTGATCGATTGCAGCAGTTATAAGAGTTACAGAAGGTGGCATTAATTCAGGTTTGTCTACGATGTATTGCGTCATAAACCGTAAATCCCCAGAGCTGGGGTCCATCCAGAAACGACCGTGATCGTCACCACTGACTATACTGTAGGTCCACGTGTCTCCCGAGTCTGGATCACTGACTGCAAATCCTGGCGCTGGAAAAGCGCTGTTCGCCTAGTAAAATGCACCAATTTTTTTCTTCAAAAATCCAATTCACATTAGAAAATATGTAGAAGCTATATGTACATTGATATTCTCTGACGATAGAAATTTACGAACATTTTTCTGTTTTGGGGACATTGGATTTAGTAATTTAGTGTTCAAATGCAAAAAAAGATGGTAGAAAGAAAACCAATTGAGGTGATTTGTTCGATCTTTTAAGTTGGTGTGTAGTTGAGGTCGCATAAAAGATGTATTTCACCTATTAAAGAGCTTTTGTTCTTGTTAGTATTCGTAGTGTTCGAATCTTTGCAACTTACATTTCCCTCCCTACGAGTCACGTGGTACACTTGTAGCGCAAACACCGGTGGTTCGTTCTTGGATTGGATGTTTATTGTTAAGGTAGCCTTAGGAGCTGCCGATTTTCCATCGTTGACAGTAAATGAAAAATTGTAGAAAGAAACCCCGGCGTCAAAGTCAAGGGACTCAATTACCGATATTCTACCAGCTATAAACAATAATAAAACGAAGATTATTCTTGTAGTATTGACATTTATTTGCTTTCTTATTACTTCATCTTTCACTTTAAATTTGACTTGTTCACAGAATTTTACTAGAATATGTTAATGACTCACTAGCTTCATCCATGGCGAATTTCGAAGCCGTTTCCACTGGATTGTATTCATATATGTAACTAAGAGGATCGCCGTCTGCATCCAACACAAAGGCGGTAAAAATCACGGTTCCTATGGATACGGTTTCCGGTACAATAATCGTCTGGTCCAGGTTACTGACAATAGGCACACTGTTGACACCTTATTGAAATGAAACTTGAATTTCAATTCTTAAAACGGCCTTAAAAATACTTTGAAATCAAAGTAATGAAACATTGGATGAATCCGATCATTTCATGGGATATCTTTAAATGGAGGGTTTGCAATTGTTTGGTGCCTCTTCGGAATATGTACATGTAGATGATCAAACAGACAATTGAAACGAATCTTACCTGTGACCAATATAGTCAGCAATCTGTCTACAACCGATCCAAACTTGTCAGATACAACAATGTACAAATTGTAGGAAAATTTAGCTGCGTCTTTGATGCTTGTCTGAAGGAATATGTGTCCAGCTGAAATATATATACATGTAAATGAATATGTTCAAGTAATATTTATATTACTTTCGTCTGCATAAAGACCAATATATCGACATTGTTCAATTTAAGACGTACAGAGACTGATGGTGAAGGGACAAGCCGTGCAGTAGTTCAGGGAGTATCCCAGCTGGTCGTTCTCCGCGTCTGTACTGTTAACTGTGAACACAATGGTCCCCACGGCCGTGGTGCTGGGGATAGTGATGACATCTGTACACAGAAAGAACGAAACAAGGAAAATGTTTGAAATAAAGAGACGAAACAATGGGACCCCAAATCAAGGCGAGTTACATTGTAGTTTATCATCGATATTGCTTCTGCGCAAATTTCCTTCCCTCGAAGACAATCGGCGGATGTACAGCTCTATGATGGCAGGTACTTATCAGAAACCACCCAAATGTGCTTACCATATTTCGTTTCTAAGAGTTTGTGTAGCATACTTACTTGGTAAATTATGAACCACGGGTTCTGCATTTTTAGTCAGGTACACATACAGTGATTCTGAGGTGGAGTCTTTGGAATCTGTACACTGTACTACCACCTGATAAACAGAGGTGTTGTCGTAGTCAAAATTTGGGGAGGCAAGATTATAGACACCAAAATCTAGGAAAACGAAGAGGAAAACACTCAAATTGAAGTACACTTGTAAGGTACTGACAACTTAAGGGAATGAATGGTCGGGTATCCAGCTTACCAGAGGTTCCAGTTATGTATTTCACGACAAAAGGTGCACCGGCTGGAGACGTGTAGTTGAGGGAACACCAGATCGTATCGTTTCCTGACTGGTCTTGTAATGTCAGGTTATAGAGGAGGGATTCGTGTTCTGAGGATTCCGAGATCTCCACAGAGGAAGGAAGGTTGAGGATCTCAGGGGGCTAAAACAAACCACATGATGAATCGAAAACATCATAAAAAAATTTCCAGAATACCTTTTATTGCAAAGTCCCTTTTTCCAAACATGGCTTTAGAAAGGATCACGAAAAGGGTTATTAGAATATCTTATATTGCAGTGTCTCTTTTTCTAACCTGATTATTTCTGAGGACAAGAAGATACAGTTTAATTTACCATGTTAAGGACCTGTATCGTTAGAGCCTCCTTACTGTCCCTACCACACGGGTCTGTCACCCGTACTGTGATCGTAAATGTCCCGGTACTTAGAGAGCCACCAGTACTTATGATGCCTGAAATGACACCTCCTATTGTTACTTAAAACAGCGTCAAACATTATAGAATTATTGCTGTCTTGAGGTCATTTTGAGATCACGTTCAAGCTACCCAAGGACATACATGTACAATATTACAGAGCTAGAAGGGGGAATATAGTATTTGTCGTATTTTATTAACATTTTAGTTAAAATATTAACTTTTATGAAAATCAGTTATCTTTCTTGCCTGTGGATGTATCTAATGTAAACCCAGAAGAGCCGCTTTCTTTAATGGTGAGATAAGGAATGTCCCCGGCATTGTCGTCGCTGTAGCTTACGGTATAGAGGGACGTTCCAGTAGCGGCCGTATCGTAGATCTGTACTGTTTGTGGAAGATTTGTAAAATATGGAGATATAGCTGAAAAAAAAAGAATGATTTACTGAGATACCCTCTAAAGATATTGAAAAGTGTAACAAATTAAGTGCAGATATGCGTAAATTAAAAATCATTCTTTTTTATCGACTGTCAAACTTATTGTTTCAGGCGGGGTAATTTGTGCAGAGGGGGTTCTTATGTTTAACCGGTTCACATCGACCCGTATTGTCACCATACGGGAAACGTCACCTGCGTCTGAGGTTCGGAATGAGCCAAAGTTTGCCTATTGGTATTGAACATGGCTAAACATTATATGAAATGTTAACTCAGTCTTCATCATCTTCACATTTTTTTTTCTTGTCAAAACATTACTGAGTCGGGTTTCTATTGAGTTGATGTGGACCCTCTCCCAAACCCTCCTGGTAAAATGTACTGCATCCGCGAATTTATGAACAATTAAGAGATGGTGCGCTTACGATGAAGCAAATTTGCGATGACGTTGGCGCTATTGTAGGAGAATCCGATGACGATGAAACGAAGGCATGAAGAAGCGATAGCGATGACACAATGGTGTGCAATGACGATGGTGCGATGGTACGGCGACGATGAAGCAATTTTCACTATCGCTCCATTGTGTTATCGCCATCGCATCGTCGCGTCATCGCGCTATCGAACCATCGCTATTGCGCATTTGCTTCATCATTATCACCATCGCATTATCGCGACTCCTAGTGCTCGATAGTGCGATAGTGAATCAAGTGGCTTATCCGGATTCCATGTGAATTAGTATATATGAAAATCCTTAGGCACTTACAATTTTCGACGAAGTACCTGATCCCATAATTTCTGTTTTTAACATATGGTGTATTCAAAGTATAGGAATCTCCCACAGAAAATGATGGGACGCTGGTTAACTGTATGTTTTCGTCTGGTGCGGCGACTGAGTAAGGAATAATGTTATCGCCGTTCGTGAACCTGAAATAAAATGTCTTGTTGTTATGTACTTCTGAAGTACGAAACTTTCAAATTTTCTTGACATTTTAAAAAATTTAAACATGGAAGGATTTGATTACATGTATACTCCAAAGCATGGAGTGCAACTGACCTTTTCAGGAATGTTAAAATACTGGATCAAGGTTTTTGCGACCATTAACTGTTGCCCTATTTTAGTATATGTAGAAAATGAACTTGATCATAAAGTTGTACATACCAACCGACTCTGTCATTCGTCTGTATTAAGATATCATCACCGGTAGAAATTGAGAGCAATTTATTTGCTGAAAAAAAAAATCAAGTCTTGTTAGCAGACTGTTTTGTACGGGCATGCAATATGGTGGAATTTATTTTTCTTCAAATCTGATGTCAACTTCCTGTTTATCCGTGCGTCTGTCCGTTTTATACATACATAACAAATTTTCGTCGAAGTTTTCTCAGCAATACTGATCGCAGATGCTTGAAATTTTAACACAATCTCCTCTAAGGCATGTCATATGGTGGGATTCATTTTTGTTAAAATCTAATGTCAACTTCCTGTTCGTCCTTGTGTCTGTCCATTCAAAGATAACTAATTTCGTCACAGTTTTCAAAGCAACTACTCATTGCAGATGCTTGAAATTTTAACATTATCTTCTCTGAGGCATGCCATATGATGGGATTTATTCTTGTTTAAATCTGATGTCAACTTCCTGTTTGTCTGTGTGTCTGTCTATTTCATACATGTTTCATACATAACAATTTTGTCACAGTTTTCTCAGCAACTATTCATCACAGAAGCTTGACATTTTAGCACAATCTTTCATGAGGCATGCTTGTTCAAATCTAATTTCAACTTCCTGTTTGTCAGTGCATCAGCCCATTTCATAAATTAACAAATTTTTGTGACAGTTTTATCAGCAACTATTCAAAACAGATGCTTGGAATTTTAGTACATACTTTGTTGAGGCATGCAGTATAGTGGGATTTATTTTGATATGAATGTGATGTCAAATGCCTATTTATCCGTGCATATACCTGTAACATTTACTAACATGATATTGCTTATTCACATCAGAGCGGAGGTATTCCTAGTGGGCATTGGCTCACAGATTTCTTGTTTTGACTCGATCTGAAGAAACATGTCAGAACTTATTAAGTCAATAACCTACAGACTGGGATTTTTCTTAACCGGTGTATGTTTCGGTCTTGCTGAAAGGTTAATTATTTGGATGAGTCTGGATGAAAAACTATATATTCGTTACTGTCTTCTTCTCTAGTGAAACATTGCTGGTATCATGCTGAGTGTGACATGGCCTTAACTCAAATTCAAGGTCACTATAAGGATAAGTTGTTTTGACTGGATGAATGGATTGATTGATTAATAATTGTACATGTTTATTGTTTAACGTCCCTTTCAATAATTTTTCACTCATATTGAGACGCCATCCTTTGCCGGTGGAGAGCTGCAAATTTTGTCCTATACTCGGCACTCGGTGCCATTGAGCAGGGAGGGGTCTTTTTCGTGCCAGCACTTACTGTGACACGGGACCTCGGTTTATACTGTCTCATCCAAAGGACCAGTCTTCACGTCCCACAATAAAATTCGAACCCACGACGTAAGGATCAACTCCTTACTTCGCGACTCTTCAGCACACGCTCTAACCACTTGATGAATATTAGTAGACTGTTAGAACATATGTGAATTTGAGAAGTCAGTAATACACAGATGGAGTTTGCTCATAACCCGAGTGTGTCATGGCTTTCGTAAGGTCATTTGGACAAGTTCAAAGTCACATACCTACCTTTATCATCTTTCTGCTACAGAGAAAAACATTGTTATCTTAGTTAATACCTCCTATAAGATTGACTATAACCTAAGAATATGGCACGACCTTGACTAACGGTCACTTCTTCCTGCACGCAGCTCCAACGGAAGACCTACTCGTTGCTGTGCAACGAGCTCGGCTCTAGTTTATTGTTATAAATTTATACAGCTAATAGGCTAGGACAATTATCATACCCTCTGGTACATAGTAATAATAAATATACGTCAGCTGATATACTTTAATGCAGTTATCATGCCTTGTGGAGTCACCCGCGTGGCGTAGTGGTTAGAGCGTCTGCTCTTGACTCGAGAAGTAAGGAGTCAATCTTTACGTCGCGGGTTCGGATCGCACAGTGGGACGTGGAGACCGGTCCTTCGGATGAGACCGTACAAACAGAGGTCCCATGTCGCAGTAGGTGCTGGCACGAAAAACATCCCTCATTGCTCAATGGCCTGAGTGCCGAGTACAGGACAAAATTTGAAGCTCTCCACCAGCAAGTGGTGGCCTCTCCATATGCGTGAAATATTCTCGAGAGGGACGTTAAACAACATACAATCAATCAATCATAACTTGTGGAACATAATAGTCTGCGCGTCAGCTGATAAAGAACTATATGCGGTATATTGCATATATTTGCCCCCACAAAAGTCAAATTTTAAAAACTTCCTAAAATGTGCTGAATTCTATAAATTGTATGAGAAATATAAATTAACAGAAAACATTATAGTGTCAAAGCAGTGTATTCACAATTTTTGTTTTGAAGACGTCACAAACTAGTCCGATTTTATATCCTTTTTCAGAAAGAGGACAAAATGGACAAAATTTCAACAATTTTAGCTTTAAAATTTATAGAGCGCAGGTTTGTTCAGGAACAATATTGTCATATTTCATTGATATTATCATTCTACACATTATATCAAAATATTAATCCTGAACACATATGCGCTCGGTGACTTCTACTCAAAATATCGACGAAATTTGTACATTTTTCTGTAAAATTCATAAAAAACTGAAATTTACGTCATATTTGTGACGTCATTACATACATATGGCGTCATTACTTATGAAAGTATTCAGTGCTTTGAAGTCAGCATATACTCCCCTGTTTAAGAACTTATTTAAATATATCTCCATCAAAGTTTGATTTGGGGGGCAAATATTGGTTATTACCGAATAAAGTTCTTTTAGGGCAGTTTTCATGCCTTATGGGACATACGTAGTAGTTATACTAGTAACTCTGCGACAGCTGATAAACTTGATGGCAATTATTGTGCCTTGTGGGTCCTACTAGTTAAAACTCTGAGTAAACTGATAGACCTCATGGACCCAAGGGCAGTTATACTTTTTGAGACATAGCGGTTATAGTTATGTGCCAACTGATAGATTTTAGGATATACCTTTTGGGACATAGTAATTATAACTACATAAAACTCCATTATAACGAAGTCACTGGGACCTGTGAAATTACTTCAATTCGCTATATCCGTAATTCGTATTATCCGTATTCGTACTAAACGAGTTTTACTGTATGCGTCAACTGACAGATTTTAGGATAGTTATAATGCCCTGTGGGACAAAGTAGTTATAATTATGCGTCAACTGATAGATTTTATGATATACCTTGTGGGACATAGTAATTATAACTATGCATCAACTGATAGACGTTAGGGGACGTTTTTCTCCACACTTGGAAGTCGATGAGTCCGTAATTGCTGCTCCAAAAGTCCACACGTTGTAGACTCCCACAGCAACTCGACTTGTATGCTGGTATAATGTACTGACAACCTGTATATTTATTGAAAAAATTAAAATAATGGATTTGTAGTAGTTAAAAATAAATGTACAAATTTGAAAATAAATAAAAATCCCTTACTTTTGCCTCAAACCCTAACTTCGAGGACCACTTGTGACTTGTAATTAAAATTATTAAATACATGCATAACTACTTTATATCGGGTCACTGGTTACTTTTTTTTTCAAAAGGAGAGGGGTCTGAAAAAGATTTGACAAAAAAAAATAATCTAACAAAAATAAATTGAGGAATTTCTCTCTCTCTCTTTTCGGCAATTTTTTGCTAAGACAAGGATACTTTAATAATTTGAGATAAACCTTATCTTAAAAAATTGGACTGACAACCATTAAAGAGGAATCTCAAGATAAGTTAGTTTAAAGTTAATCTTAATTTTGATTTTCAATTTATTGAAATAGTTTGCAAATTTCTCTACCGCGCTTAATTTTTTTATGCTCTCCGTATTTCTGAACATAATTTTATCAAAGTTGCACATCATGAATTTGAACCAAAGCTGAAAAATTATACACTTAAACTGAATTATTTTCGCTCTCATTATGGATCCACGAAGAGTTAGAATTTTGGGGTTACATATTTTCAATATCTGATTCCGCGACTGCTCCGGGTACCCCTACTATTGACACATTTATATACCATTGTAGAGAAAATATTTAATATTTGTAAAATATTTCTTGCTTTTATTAATTTTTAGTGTATGTCAAACGTATATGCCAATTGTCACTGAAAGACGTTCATTAGAAAGCAAAATATACACTTTAATTTTGAACCCTCGTATGTCATAAAAATAAATGAGCCGGGTTCCTAACAGTGAAGTTTTCTCTTTGATTTGAATAGCTTTGTTCCTACAGTAAGTTTTTTTTTCCTTAATACTATTATATAGGTCTACATTGTAATTTTTGGCCATTTCGCATGATAATATGTCTTCCATCCCAAAATTCTACGCGTAAAATTTGATGTCAGTGTTTTTCGAGGAGAATTCGATAAACTTAATATGCAGATATAAAATGGTTATCATTTGGAGAGAAATAAAAGTTACATTGCTGTTAAATTGAAACATATAAATTTGATTTTCATGAGTAGCTGTATATACAATTATATTTATATTTATTGCCAAATGAAAATTCAATATTTAATATGACATCTAAACATTCCAGTGCCTTAGTCCTATTTTAAAGTAATAAAAATCTGATAATTTGTCATACATACAATTTGAGTCAAGAGAGAGAGTATTGAAGTCAATAGTTTTAATAAAGATTTCTCTTACTTGTGCAGCTCTCTATAATGTCCTTGTAATGGGTTGGATTTACACCGAAGTTACATCCGCATTCTTAGAAAAGAAAATCATTGAGTTCATCATTTCAGATTTTAATTTATTTTTTGATCCTCTAAGTTAGAATCCAATAGCTTAATTGTGGACTTGTTTCAGATGAATTTGATGCATTGAAGTTATCTCTCAACTTACCCGCATTAAAAATTAACAATAGGCCAAATACAAGTTGAAAAATGACATTTCCCAAAGACATTTCATCTTTTGGGGTGGTCATTTTATCTGTACATATGTAGCGTGCTGAAAGATATCATCCGAAGTGCATTTCTGTTAATTTTCGCGATATCAGCTAGCTGTATATAAACATTTACCACAGAAACCACAATATCTGCGAACATTTGAGAAGAATGCCCTTTCTTATGACATGTTTCTTTTTAATCCGTATGACAATTCTGTTTTTGGTTCCTATTGACTTTCGAAACACGAAAATTGACCAAACACCCTGCAATTATTTGCATTAAAGACGTCCTACTTCCGGAAAGAGGAAACCGAATTTTCACTCGTCTTAATAAAATATTTGTGGATATAATTTAAAATGAACCAAGTCACCAACAGCAATAAAAACCTCATTATAAAAGTTAACATGCTGAAAAATCAACAATTTCTTCTTTGTTGATGTGTATTATGGTGGTTTGACCACCATGCACTTTCTGGGTCCGTTTAAATATGTGTACATAATCGAGTTCAAAGATTAAACAGATCTTGTTTTCATTGGAAATACATGTACGTGTACTTGTATAGAAACCGATGGACTTTTACAGATTCAAAACTTGTTGAACGCCAAAATTAATTAAACATCTGCAGCTCTATAGATTCTTATTTAAAAAGTTTATCATAAGGCCAAAACAAGGTAATGCTAGTGTTTTAAATGCTGTCGTTATTAGAGCCAACGTTAAACTAGAAAATTGGTTTCTGGTTTCATTCCAAAATATTTAGATATTATGTTAGGGATCCGTATTTTAAACAGCGGCATTCTTTGGAATAATGTTTTTTTTTAATGTTTTTGTTTGATTTTGTTCCTAAGTAAATACTCAGTAAGAGATTTCGTAGACGATTTTGTATTTTTTTTCTAAAGATGTCCAATTGTTTCGAATCCCCCACTTGCCGAAAACCAATTTCTTGATTTTAATATCAGTAATTTATGTAGTATCAGTACTTTCTGCAAGCAAGGCTATTGCCGTACTTGTTAACTACTCCACTGAATATGGTATATAGATATAAATAATTAAAAATATCGCATTTTCTCTCGGTTTCAACGTATCTTCCATAAATTTCGTCGCTCATTACCGACGATGTTGAGTCCTTCAAAATGTAACTTAGGAATTAATTTTTTTTTTTGTCTTTAAAAATTAAAAAAAAAAGTGTTTGAGGCAGATTAATTCTAAACTGCTTAACATTTTTCAATAAGTTACTAAGGTAACCTAACATCTCCAAGTACTTGAATCGTCGTAAGACGGAATCAGTAATTATTAATGAATATTTTTCCAATCCTGATCCCATGCAACTTTGCAACTTAAAGCTGTAAACCCCAAAGTGGTTTGCTTTATTCTCAACTTATTTTGTGTAATTTTCGAATGCATTGATAAGTTGTTTTAAAATAACACAAAATATAATATCAGAATTAATAAAGTAGATTTATGATTCGAAAACATTTCATATATGCCATGAAAAATGTGATTGAAAATTGTTATTCAAAATGTTTAAGTATCTTTTTTCTCTCTCGATATTCTTGTGATTTATGCAAAAGCTTGATACAATAAATATAAGTATGCGATCATACTATTCTTATATGCCAAAAGTTGATATTCTTATTGGAAAACTTGTTATTCATGTGAAATATACATCCACTGCGTAACAGGGCTATATACAGGTAATCAGAGAGATGCTGATATTTTAAGGTAACTACTATGATATTTTTTAAAAACAGAAAACGTGTTTGCTGAAATATTCTTTTGCTGATAAAATGCATGTTTTTTAAACTATGAATAAAAAGGTTTTTTTTTTTTTAACGTTTTTTAAATTAAATTAATATATGTTGGTAGCAAACCCCAAAGTTTTAAGGCCTTCTCACAGTTTATGTAAATTTTTTCTACAATTGCATGTGAAATTTCATTAAAGCCGTGTGTTTATATTCCAAATCATATTGACAGTATATAAAAATTGAAAAGCACAAAGGTTAAAGAATTCAATTTTTAATTTTTTTTTTTAAAAAGACTTTAGTTGTCAATGACATAACTAAATTAAAGGTGCATTTAAAGGGTCAAAGATAAAATTTGATTAACATTTTTTTAAAGCAAAGTCTAAAGTCTTGTGTTAAAGTTAAATTGAATTGAAAACATTTTATTAAAAATTTGTGATGATCGGTCTTTAAAAAAGCTACAAAAGTATCCCTACAATGCTGGAAAATGCACCATTTGGAACCATTTAAAACAAAATTTTATGGCCACCCCCAAGTAAAAGTGTGGTGTTTTTTGGGCCTCAAAACCCCCCCACATGAACTTCTGGTCCGCCACTGGTAAATAGATGATTTTAAAAACAAGGTCAAGAGGTCAAATTTGGTGGTACCCAAAGAAAGAAAAGAAAGGGTCTTGTCACAATTAAAGGAATACACCTGTGAGATATAAAAGCCATAGCCCCACCCACTTAAAAGTTGTGGGCAAGGTTGAAATTTTTGGAAGATAGACAGACGTGCACACAGACGGACGGACAGGGGTAAGGGCAAGGTTGAAATTTTTGGCAGATAGACAGACGTGCACACAGACGGACGGACAGGGGTAAAACTAAATACCCCCGAAACTCCCTTTACGTGGCCATAATTAGAATACCTTGAAATAAAGATCAGTAGATAAGGTACTTGGCACTTTCCGGAATATTATAGCGCGTGACATTTGGTTCTAAATGTTGTTTATGACAAAAAGAAATGGCGGCATGTTCAAAGAGGTGTTGTGTTGCATTGCAGAAGTAGATTTCATGGAAGATTGTTTGTCCGAATAATATTTGTTAGTTGGATAGTTAAGATAGATAATTTGAATTGTAAATTTTATATAAATGGGTGATATATCGGTAAATGGACTTGGGAACGATTTGCCTAAGGGAACAGATGAAAAATACCATGTTGAAATTTGTCTCCAACCGACCAGGTTTGTATGGAATTATTCATCAAATAAAGGAATTGGAAGAATTTTTATCATGTCGTTCAGCCTTTTTGTTCATAAGCTGACACTTAATAATAAACTAAGGAAATTCCTATAGATAATTGTATTCATTATGATCATAAATCGTCGAATAAACGATGATCTACTATATTGACTTTACTTTATAGGTCTATTGCCCAAATGAAACGGGACCTAACAGCACATTTATAATATGTAAGACTCCAAAGTCTGATGGTCATGCCAATTAAAGTTTGAGGGCTCTCCTATGAGACTCACAGGGCTCTGTGTGATGGTGGCATTTGTGCAGAGAAACAGTCAAGGTTATGACATCACAATAGTTTGACATCAATCCTTGACACTGTTGTCCTGAATTCATGCATGTATTGATGTAATTTAACTGATTTTGCTAATTGCTTGCATCAACCAAAGAGTCAAAGACATTAGGGATACTACTCGCACACCACTCATTTTTTTAATAGTGTGCCAGGAAAAAGCCCTATTGATTAAGGAATAACTGTCTAAATTTTTTATTTCATGATATGATCAATTGAGTGGCTTACGTGATATTGTGCGCTGAAAGCGTTTATGCATATTGATAAATTACATGCAAGCCAATCGATTGATCATCGGCATGAAATAAAAAAAATCTGCTAGTTATACCTTATATTTTCCGCAAATCTACATGCTGCTAGCCTCGTTTCTGTCTCTATTTGTCCCATTCTGCATGTGATTTTTTTAACCGTGCCTATCGATGAACCAGTATATTTATGTAGAAATCAAGTACATTAACTATTTGTAATTTTATCTTGGACAAAAACATTGGAAATGTAAATATTGGTAAATAAGGGTTAGTCCTTGTATACTAATGGACTGATTTATATGGAATAGCTTCAAACCCACTCGAAAGATTTTAGGGTTAGTTTTTTGCTCACTATTCATCTGATATCATTAGGGATAATCTAGCACCTTATCAAGATATATAGGTTGTAATTACACACTTGACCAGTTGGGATTAGTTTTGAACCTTTCTTAGAGCTACTGTAAACCAACTATTATTCATGTCATCTTTTATTCGCAATTCTTAAGTTTGGAATCAATCTGTGACCATTAATTTTCGCGATTGAAGAACCATCCTCTATGTATACAAAGCAAAAATAATGCTTCGCAATGATTAATATTCACGAGTTAAAGTAGGTTGCGAAGCTCGCGGATATTTCTCGCACGCGAATAAAAGTTGGTTTACAGTATTATGGTTAGAGTCCTCCAATTTAATTATTTAAAACCTTTACACTTTGGCATGGCACAGCATTGCAATTTGGCGCTGTAGTACTATGACGTCATAAACCTAAATTTTTTTCCATACCATTGGACTTTGGCCATAAGGGATTGGCATAGACCATCTGACTTTGGTGTGAGACCGTGTGACATTGGACTTTGGAGTCCCATTTCAATTGAAATTCTACAAATGGAATGCCCCAATTTACTTTCACAGTGCCAGAAATGTACAAAAATTTATCCAGCTATGAAAGTTTTCTTTTCTTTCATTTGGGATATTACAAGTTAAAGTACCACTTTGATCTATAGCTTCTACCTGGATATTAGGTTATATTCTGGCAGTTGGTCCCTACTTGTAAAATGAAGATAAGTTTTGGGATTTATTTCCTATGATTGAATACTATCTGTCATATTTGTTTCATTATGTTCATTGTTCTTAGCTTAGCTGAAAGCCATGCAGTAAAACAGCATGTGTTAGCACTACTAAAACGACACAGAGTGGCATACGGCGATCTTACCTTGACAGCATTTGACGATGCCTTTTTACAGGAGAATGTGAAGTCTGTTTCACTTTGTGACACAGAATATGGTCCAGAGAAAAAGGTACAAGCATAAATTATTTTTTTGCAGTGAATTGAACTTAATGTTTCAATTTTTCTAGTAAACGAGAATTTTGACTTCACAATTGCAAGAAATGATTTAAACATTTGTTTCTATAAAAATGAATTAAAAATTGATAATCATTGATTAGCTTGAGGAAAAAGTTTCAGGTCATCTAACATACATGTATATGATGATTTATTCTTTTAATTGTAGCAAATATGTCTGCTATCTAGTAACTTGGTGTTACATGTATATCGCCTCAATGACGATGGACCGGGGACAGAGGAACTGGACGACGAAGAAGACCTAGCCGCGGCTCATCACTGGTTACTTCCTGCCTCCGATTTCAGTGGATTGTGGGATAGTTTAGTTTATGATGAGGATATCAAAAGAGGGGTTTGTAGCATTGACTCAAAAGCTTTTTAATCATACATGCAGACATACATGTGTAACAAAAAGTATCAAACACAGTTTATCTTTTAACGGTATAAGAATTTATTCTATGTCTTTGTAGCTTTTGAATTATGCATCCACAACCTTATTGTTTTCTGATAAAGCCGTGGACAACAATGTCATATCTTGGAACAAAGTTATCCTCCTTCATGGTTTGTTGACTGTAAAATATCATAATGTATTTTGACTCCAAATCAAATAAATACTTAGTAATGTACTACTGTAGATCACTAAGTTTTCGCGACATCTTATTTTCGCGAGATAGTCATTGACTCTTGATTAGCAAGACAAAATTTTCGCGAAGTGTGGTTATTGCTCTATATAATCTTAAGGAATGCTATTATACACGAGAATTAAATTTTTCGCGAGCACATTGTCTCGCGTAATTACGCGAAAATAAAGTTCTCGCGAATAAAAAGTGATTTACAGTATATAATTAGCTGCAAAGGTGTAAAATAACATGTGAAATGTAATGGATAACATCACTACAGCATATATAATAATATTTTGTCAGAATTCAAATATTTTATGTTTTTTTTCTTGTATCTTAGGGCCTCCAGGGACTGGGAAGACCTCCCTGTGTAAAGCCCTGGCTCAGAAGCTGGTCATAAGAATGTCTGACCGGTACTCCTACGGTCAGCTGATTGAAATTAACAGCCACAGCTTATTCTCAAAATGGTTCTCAGAGGTAATGCAAAGACAGTTCTATGTTTTTAATTCAACAAAAGAATGTATATTAATTTGAATACAGTTCAGTTACAAAGGGACTAAATAGATTTTCTTATTTCACTATTGCAAGATAACTATTATTTTCTGTTTTACAGAGTGGCAAGCTAGTAATGAAAATGTTTCAGAAAATTCAAGAATTGATAGATGATCAGGATGCCTTAGTTTTTGTCTTGATAGATGAGGTAAGATAAATGGGTTTTTTTTTTTTCACCTGCTTCATTACTCATGAAATTCTCTTCATATTTTTGATCATCACTTATATGGGGAAAGGAAAGGACAAGTATGGTAGGAAATTGTTGTAACATAACTTTAGTCACAGGGATCAGTTTTAGAATTACATGTCATGTTCATACTGGGAAAAAAATGAATGTAAAAGAATGCCTCATTGAACATTTTTATTACTAAATCAATAAAATAAAAACAACAAATCACCTCTCTCAGCATTTTTTGAGGTTTTGTACATTGTAAAAGGCTGCCTCATCATGTTTTGGGGGCAATAAAAAAGGTTTTTAAAAAATGCCTCCCTCCCTCATCATATTTCTTGAAAAAAAGGCCTGAGAACCAAGTAATTAACTTTGCATGGCCTAATTGTTGTTCTTTATATGATTAGGTGGAAAGTTTGACAGCCGCCAGGAAGAGCACAATGTCAGGAAGTGAACCGTCTGATGCCATCCGAGTCGTGAATGCTCTCCTCACCCAGCTGGATCAAATTAAAAGGTAAATTACCTTCCAGGTATCATGCAGGTATGAAATAAAAAGTAAATAAGATTGAAAAGTAGTATTAAGGGGACATGTACTTACAGTCTCTGTGTATCCATTTGTACTTCCTACTTGCATTTGACAAGTTTAACATGCAAAACTTACATGCTGTTACAAGTACAGTAGATAAGATTTTGTGACAGTTTATCTGTACATTGCATAGATTTATAAGAAATGATCCCCATTTCAAGAATGAGAGTTTGATAATGCCTGTTTTAAACAATGTTTTATATTTTACTATATACATGTACATATAGTGGTACATGTATATGTACTTTATCAGGGAGTGTTATATGTACCGGTACTAGTGCTTGTAGACCACTGTTTTATGTAATGCTGATTTACAGGTTCCCTAATGTGATGATATTGACTACCTCTAATGTGACCGGCGCTATCGACCTGGCCTTCGTGGACAGGGCAGATATTAAGCAGTATATTGGACCTCCATCTCCTGCTGCCATATTCAAGATCTACCACTCCTGTATCACAGAACTCATGAGAGTATGTTTATTAGCATCAAAAATCTCATCAAGTTTTTTTTTACCAAGTTTTCTATAAAAGCGAGCTTCTGTATTTGTGTTTGTTATATTTGACTGTTTAGATTAACTAGAAGTTGAATTTACATAGTCAATCAATTTTTATCTGTTGAAGGTTGGAATCATCTCCCCTGCTCAGCAACTGTTTGATTTACGGACATTGGAAGTCATGAAGTTTATTGAAAAAAATGTCACAAAGCTCAGTTTACAGCTGAGAGACTTAGCAATGTAAGCACATAAACCAAACAAAGCTCAGTTTACAGCTGAGAGACTTAGCAATGTAAGCACATAAACCAAACAGTCTCAGATGGATTTTGAAGCTTTCCTTTCATTCTACTAAGAAATGGTTTAGAAAGGCAACAACTATTGACATACTAAGTAGCTCTTTCAGTCAAAAGTCAAGAAAAAATCTCTTTTTTTTTCATTATTGATATTAAAACAAATAGCCTTCATTCACTACAATATTAAAAATCATTATAAGATAACCCTGAATTTTTATCTTTAAAACCACTTGCTCTTGCAAAGATCATGATCAAAAGTACTCTATGGAGCCCAGTATATCTATCAATTTTCCAGTTCTCTGAGTAATGTTAATCTTTCTTAATTGTACTTGCAGGCAGAGTCAGGGATTAAGTGGAAGGACTTTAAGAAAGCTACCATTTATTGCACATGCTCTCTTTGTTCAGGTATTTTTACTGTTTTAAATAACTAATTAATACTATGCCTAGAATAAAAAAAAAGTCCAAGAATGTTTTTTTTTTTTTTTATCAATATATACTTTTTGCAATTAAGTTTCAATATGACCGAGATAACGAAAAAGAAAATATTTCATTTTATGAAATTATTAATGTCATCTGTTATGAGTAGACATTTTCTTTTGCAGACTTCCAGTGTATCTCTTGAGGAATTTCTGGAAGGTTTGAGGAAAGCTATAGAAAGACAGTTCAGAGAGAGGAATGACTTATCAAAGGATTAAATGAGGATACAAAAGATTATTTAATCAGACTGAATGTCCTTCATCATTCTGTGATAAACCTTGTAATTTATCATTATATATGTCAGTGCTACTGTTTTTCTCAGGGTAGTACTTTATTATAAACCTTCTTTCAGTGAAATTTGGAGGACTTGGTTTCTATTTCTGCCTGTATGTAAAACTTTGATGTTTGGTATACTTTTATAAATAGTTTAAATCAAATTTAGGTTCCATTTATATTTTGGACATTGACCATTACCCCTGTGCATTATTAGACTGTAAATCGGTACTGTTTTCTTAAAAATACATTAAAGCCTCCAAAATGTATCAGAGTACATCTCAGTATCATACCCCGCAATACCTAGCAAATAAGAAATTATTAGCTTTTATGTGCTCCTGAAAGTCTGAGATTAATAATTTATTAATTTTATGAATTTACTTTTCCATGAAACATAAAATACATCATAAACTGATAAAGATAAAACTTTTAGAATATCTAAAACTTGGTACATTGTTGTCTTTAATTAACATAGTTGCTGATTGTGTGTGTTTTGTGGACTTCTATTTCCATTTGAATTATTCTTTGCTTCAGAAGTATTAAAACTATGGTGCATTTCATTGAAATTTTAAGCTAAATTCCTTCTGTCTCGTAATTTCTGTACATTCTGACTGTTAACATATTCTATAGAAATGTGCAACAATTTAGCTGCCAACCCTTACGATATTCATAAAATTTATGATGTATATAATTATTCAGGTTTTTTGTTCAAAGTTTATAATACCAGTATTTTCATAGCTGGCAGTCAATAGTTGCTACTATTATAATATATTCATAATTCTTACAATGCTTGCTTGTATCATCGTTTCGGTTTTAGATGGCCGATCACATTCATGTCAATGTTTTAAAGTAAAAAAGATGGAAACATGCCTCAGATTACATGTCCATTTGCAAAAATATCTTCAGCAGCACGGGGCCTAGGTGGTCCCTAGACCCCGCCTTACTATTTTTCATTTTAGAATGTTGGCAGCTCTGCAATTTAGGATGATTTTCATTTTATGATGATTATATTATCTATTGTTTGTTAGTTTTGGCACATCAGTCAGGTGTCAGTCTCAATGAATGCAATGTCAAGACTTTAGGGTTAGAACTTACCCAGAAGTAGCTAAGAGACGTGTATTGCTTTAGCAATATGCTTGTTGTGCTAATTAAAAAGAACTGCTAGAACTGTTGAATTTAATGTCATCTTTTATCTCTTTGTTTCACTTAATACCATTGTCCTCTACAATAATATATCTACACAACCATTTTTGTATGCTTCAATGTGTTTATTACACCCTCTTACTTGGAAAGAGGAAGTGTATATACATGTAGTGATCTGGATGTTGTTATTTCGTGAATCAGTACTCACAGTACCTCTGGTTTTCTTTAATCTCTGTATAAAAACTACTTACCGAGTGGAAAAGTCAAATATAATTCCATGAAATGGTACTTGTATGTGATAACCTTGGGCAGAAAAAAAAAATAAACTAAAGGTACTGTGAGCAATAAGCTCACTTAATGAATAGCTCATCTCGTGAAAACAACTCATTTTCACTAAATTATAACAAGAATTTATCGCCTCAAAACAAGTTATTTCATGAAAACGAGAAATTATCGTGTGAAAATGACTTTATTATCTTGAAAAAAAAAGGCCATATTGTAAAAACTGTATGTCGTTTTTAGGAGATGTCATTTTCGTGAGATACTATGCCATTTTCACAAGATAATATCTCGTTTGCACAAGATAATTTCTAATTTTCACAAGGTAATATTTCGTTTTCACTGGAAAGGCATTTTTCACGAGATAATATCTCGTGAAAATAAGGAACATGTTGCTTTCATGAGAATATATATTACCTCATTTTCACAGATAATTTTTCGTTTTTACAAGATGAATTTTTCCTGTCATCTAAAAAAATTAATTATATATTGTTATTGCTCCACTACTTATTATCTATAGAAACGAACACAACAATATTTTTCCTTTGTCATTTCAGAGACAGATTATTTAGCCAATCAAAATATCATAGTTATAGAAGACAGTGGTATAAACAGTTTGTCTGTGCATTTCGTCTGAAAATGTAAATGAATAAGATACTAGGGAGGGGGTAATGTGTGTAATTTAAAGTTGGGTACTCTGTATTATAATAATTAAAAGGCATTACATGTATATGGTTTAGCCCCCCCCCCCCCAACTTTCAACACACACAGGTTGCAGTGTATTCAAAGAAGGATAAATGGTAGGGTTTTGAAAAAATAAATCGGTACTGAAAGATGTTTGCATCGAAGGATGCACACTACACTGATGGCTTTTGGGAGGCTGGATTTGACCTACATTTCCCAGATGAGTGAACGGGTACAAGTCAAAACGGCACCTGGTGAAAACGGCACTTAGGAAATATGCAAAACGGCACTTGAGAGTAGTCAAAATTGCACTTTTAAAAATACTTTTTTTATTTTGAGAATTTGATATTGTTTATGCAGAATTGTGTGATCTTTATGTTACATTTATAGTAAGAAATGTGTATATTATTATTGATAAAAAGTTTAAAAAATATTTTAGGAAAAAAATTAAACTGATTCATTTGAAAATTATTATACTTTTGTACAGGGGTTAGATTTTTAAAATGTATTTATATTTTAAATCATATATATTTATTTACTACAAAAGAGATCAAATCCCAATTATATTATTATGATCCTTTGAAATTAAAAAATTTATAGTGTTGCAAATATGTATAATCTCTGTTTTGGGGGTTGCCAGTCACAGTTGACTAATTAGAAGCCAGTTAGAGTATGTTTACTAAGAATACACTTGTAGGTTTAGGAAACAAAAGACCATTTCACACCTCCCCTTCAATAATCTGTTGATCGTCAATTTGCAATCATCTACAGCTACTATATATTGTGTATTTCAAAATGTCAAATGGATTGTACACAAGTTAGAAAAACTTAGATAATCCTCTGTGCAACTGTACATAAAATATGAGTAGCCATACAACATTTAATAATATAATAAACATGTACATTTACAAGAACAAACCATTTGTTTTTTTATAATGAAGATATACAATGTTGATATTGTTAAAATAATTTCTACAGAATTTAGAAATGTGAGATAAAGTGACTCTTACTGTAAATTTTTTTTTTAAATCATTTACACCATTTCTTTTTTCATATTATCAATACTATACTACAAATATAATTATTCTAAATCCCACATACTGTTGTGTTATAGCTTAAAAATATATATATTGAAAATAAAGCAAAATTAGCCACAAAAAATTCTAAAGTCAATAAATTAAATTTTGACTTAAAAAGATTTTTGTGAAATATATATCAAAAACTATTATATATTTTTTCTCTAAGTGCCGTTTTAACCAAGTGCCGAACACAAGTGCCGTTTTTCCGTTTTGCATATTCCAGGTGCCGTTTTCACCAGGTGCCATTTTCACTAGGTGCCGTATCATAGAAGACAATGATATATATAAACAGTTTGTGCATTTCATCTGAAAGTGTAAATGAATAAGATACTAGGGAGGGGGTAACGTGTGTAATTTGAAGTTGGATACTCTGTGTTATAATAAAGGCATTACATGTACATGTACATGTACGTGGTTTAGCCCCCACTTTCATCACACACAGCTAGGTTGCAGTGTATTCAAAGAAGGGTGAATGGAAGGGTTTTGAAAAAAATAAATTGGCACTGAAAGATGTTTGCATCTAAGGATGCACACTACACTGATGGCTATTATTGGAGGTTGGATTTGACCTACATTTCCCAGATAAGTGAACTTGTTAAAGGTACAGGTCTCATTTCTAAATACTGTAGGCCACATGTGCAATATTCATGCTTTGATTTTTATCTGAAAGAAGATATTCATGGAAAGAGGTTTCTTTTCCTTTTCTGCATTCTAATTTTTTTAAAACATTCTATGCAAGCTATTAGGAATGGTTACATGACATTGTATTATGAGCTGGTTTTGCAACAATAAAATCTGCAGTGGACTTCTTTTTTAAGGTAATGTTATGTTCATATCCAAATTTAAAGCTGCAATTATATCGCTATATATTTACAAAAATTTTTTTGGATATATAAACTTTATAAATTTTATATTTTGTTGTATTCATAACAAGTTTTAAAATATGACAAAAATTAAGTGTTTGCAATATTATTTGAAGGCAGATTCATTTAAACGTACGTTGAACAAAAACCGAGCATTTTTTAGCTTAAACTTTTTCAAAAATGAACCATGTGACTGCATTTATTTCATTCCAAATTAAACATGTATTGAATATTGCAATCTCTGAGTGATTTTTTTTAATACGAAATATTTTATGTACGATATGCGAAAAACAGCAAGTGCGAGAAAATAGTTCTTATTTTAAAAGGGGTAAAAATATACAAATAATTTTATCAATGCGTTTAGGGTCTTTCTTTCAATGATTTATCAATATCTTAAAACCAAATTATACAAATAACTCAAATTAACTCTAATAAAACTTATTTTGACATTATGGCGCCCTGGCGGATGAATATAGTTGATACTGTCACCTTGGAACCAAAATGGCCGCTATGTAGAAAAAAAAATGATAATGTATACACACATAAATTTACAGTCTTTTCTTGACTGTTGACTTAAATGAATTAAAAATGTAATTCGATTTGATAAAGGCTATCTTTTTAGGCGTTCAAGAATTACAAGGTTTGTTGTTTTCTTGAAGTATAAACGCTTATTTCTTTTAGGAAGATGGGATACGTGATAGCTAGAACCAGAGAACTGCTGTAAAATAGAGGTCTACTAACGTTAAAGAACAAATTATACAGAATAATATTAATGCATGACTTGATAGGACGGGTTTATTTTTTTTTAAATATTAAATTAAATAATTAAGTGAGACATGTTAGACATGGTGATAATCACGTATTCTTGTTTCATGGTTTGAAATATAGAAAACTAAATTTTAGAGGACTGAGAGTTTTTTTCTCAAATTCCTATGAGTATTGGTGTGTAGATTATGTTTTGAAACTGAGATTTTTAGAGCAAAGTAAAGGGAAGGGGACAGTAGGTAGAGCATAAAATAATGATTCCCGGTCCAGCCATGCATTTTCTCCTTTCCTGTTACAGATTTGGTGCCGTTGACCACCCCTGGACTTGCAGAGTCCTGAAAAAACATGTAATTATTTAGATCCTCTTCTTTTTCTTATAAAGTGCATGACTCTTGATGAGTATTATTGCACTTCAGGTGATATCATAGGGGGGATGACAAACATGAATATCATTATAACTTATGTCAAATAAAATTTTGATTTGCAGGTGATGGTCACACAGATGTAATTTTAACAGAAACCTTACAATGTCGAGAGAATTATTTCGCCCACAGTATCGACAGATCAGCAGAAAGAATGGCTGGACCTGTCCGCCCCACCCTCTGCAATGTGTGGCCTGGTTTTTCGTTCTTTATTTTTCGTTTGTGAATTTCACAACTCTGATTCCACATTTATATTCAGATTCTCAGCCAGCTGTTTATACTGTATCCTTTTCATGCTTTTTTTTTCTAACTGTTTATATATTTCATTCAGGTTTGTATATATAGTGTATATTGTAAACATACTTATTTGCACGTAATAACAATTTTGGCCTATTAATGTAAATTTACTGCATCTGAGGTATAAGTTTTCTTTAACATAAATTTTGAGATAAGAACTCCTTAAAAGAAAAAAAGTTTTACGTACAGAACACTCCCTCTGTTCTTCCACTACGAAATTCAAATCCTTAACATACTGTTAGCTCACTGGTATTGCTCTGCTTTCTCATATTATTACTCATATTGTGGCCAGTACAATTAACCCAGCGGATGCTGCAGTGCTGAAGGGCAGTCAAAAAAGAAAGCCATTTGACAGAAAAAAACATGCTCATGTCATTGATGAAAACATGCATTGCTACATCTGTGAAACAGATGTGTAAGTATCAACTACATATAAAACTCATATAACAAATTCATAATACCATATACATGTAGATGTGTATATTTATTGTTGTTCTAAAACTTATAATGGGCATGATTATCTAAAGAATTAAAAGGTAATATTTTGGACATGCACAACCAATTCTCAAATTGAAAAGGGCCACTCTTATTAAAACCTGATTTCTAAAATGAATTTTAATCGAAAGAATTTAAGTTACTGGTACATGTAGTTAATTGAATTTCCCCCTCTATTTAATTTAATGTATTTACAACTGTATATATGTCTGTCCAAATTTCTCAACCAGTTCTACACCTATATCATTTTACTTGGTGAGATTGAAGTCACAGATAAAACATTTTAAACCTTTATCTTCATTGTTAAGAATATATATCCCAGTAATAATCATTAAAGCATGGGAATATTTCTATCAGTGAAGAGAAATTAAGGTTTAAAATGTCAAGTGCCTATGAATAATAACGAGGTACATCATGATCGCCAAGTTATATTTTTTGGGTCAAGTGAAGATTACTTATTTAATTTTTTATTTACAGGGCCTCCAACTCTAAGCATTGTAGTGCCTGTAATAAGTGTGTAGCAGAGTTTGACCACCATTGTAAATGGCTGAACAACTGTGTGGGAGGCAAGAACTACAGGTCAGTAATTACCAGCGTGCTGGGAGTCTAGCTTCTATTTACCATGCATAATTTCACCAGAATGTGAAATTTACTGAAAATCTATTCCTGGCCAAAAAAATCTTAATTTCCTAAAAATTACACTATAGAAAACTCGGATATAAGAATGGGGAAAATGTGTAAAGTAGGAATTAGCAATATCCATGCTTGTTACAAACTGTTTTACTGTACTGCGGTTAAATATCTACCAGTATAAACGTACTTTGTAATACTATTTTAAATTTCAAACTGCCTTGGAAACAGGACTTTTATAAAGTTTATATGAGGAATAATATTTTTATTTTTTGATTTCAGGTGGTTTCTGGCAGTGCTGGTGACTGGTATGCTGGGTGTGTTATTTGTTCTTCTTGTGGCCTTGCTGGAGTTTGTTACTTACTATAGTGATAAAACTGATGGAAACATTTTGCAACCATATATAGGTAAATTTCACCATAAAACAATTTAAAATATATGTGCAGTTAAATTTTCTGAACAGTGCATTTTTTTTAAAAATTGTTTTAAATGGTAAACTGAATAGAAAAAATAAAGTAAATACACAGAAAATGCACATGGAAGAGATGTCATAAAATATTTTCTGTTTACACTTTCAGATATCAAAAACAGTAAGTATTTCCAGTATGTGCGGCAGCGTATGCAAAACTGTATGTAAATAGTGTAGAATGAATTTATGTTGAAATTATTACCTGATTCAGTTAAGAATTGATAAATTAACGATAACCCATTTTAGTACATTTATTTTTGAGGTACATGTATATTCAAATATCAAAAATCAATTGTCTGACACAAAAATTTGAATTTTTATATCAAATCATGGATTTTTTTTATTTTTGAAAAAATAAATGCGATTTTCTTATGATAGTCTTTCTGATTTCAGAAAATCTTTTTTTTGTTGATATTGCATCATTAGTCCTCTAGGTTTCTATATACTGTATGTCTCAAGTTGGATGTACATGTAAAATTATTTAATAATTTTCCTTAAACAATTTAGAAATACAAGATTTACATTACTAATTTGATGTTTCATAAATTTGCTTCATTTCCATTTTTCAGGCAATAAAACTGCAGGTATGTCAGGAAATTTTAAAATATCAAGTGAATAACATTAATTTCACTCTTATTGATAAAAGTATGTTCTCTTTAGACATTTGTTTGAAACTAATGTCCCTTTTGAGAAAGGAAACTGATAATATCTCAGTTAGATTAAGTGAATTAATGCTGATGTTTTGTTTTCAGAGTTCAATATCTGCTATGTACCAGTTCCTGATAATGGTTTTCTAGCTATAGTGGGCGTCACTTCTGTATTCCTGCTTCTGGCACTAGGACTTCTTATACACTTATTTTCCTTCCATTGCTATCTAAGTAAGTAGTTTGGTTTAGAAACTGTGTGTACAATAGCAAGTTTGAAAAGATAACTTTCTTGTTTAAATTTTGTATGTGTTGAATACCATTAAAAACTGAAAATGAGGTTAATGATTGCATGGTCAGGTTATTCATACATTTGATGATTAACAGTTCTTGTGCTACTATTGGTTCCATAAATAAAATAATGTTTATAACTTTTCATAAATTAAAACTAACTAATGCATTTAAATTTCACAAATTAAGATTGAAATAAATAATATTGAGGATAAGACAGAAAAATTGAACTTAATTGGTCATTGTCATATTTAATGTGAAACATTTGGATAAGTTTGCCGCTCACAATGAAGCATGTGTGTTTTACAGTGTATAACAACATGACAACATATGAGTACATTGTCCATCAGCGCGAGAGAGAAGAGAACGATTATAATACAGATGTACCAAGCAGTCACAGAGAAAAGAAAAAGGTAAGTGAAAAAATGGAGATAAAAAGTGTAATCAGAGGTCTGAAAAATATTAAAATGTCATGTTATATGATATTTAATAAATAAGAAAATACCTTATACTGTAACAAAAGTCAAATATCTTCTAACTGTTTTTACTAATGAACTTAGTATTAGTGTAGTATCTTAATTTTTATCATTTTAGTCAAAAATGAAAAACCGAGTAGAGCCAAGCAATGTGAGAAGTGGAAAAGACAAAATGTAAGATTTGGGGTTTGTTTAGCTCATCAAGCCAAAGAGCAGAAAGCTCTTCTGCATTTATTTCTAGTTATTCTTTAAATGAAGGCAGTTTCTCAAATCTACGATATAATTCTCAGAAAAACTTATTTTAGAGGGAAACAATAATTATGTGTTTGTGAAACGCTCTGCGCCCGGCAGCAACAAAGTTCCAAATAGCTAATTTTAGCATATATGTCACAGTTAAGGTCACAAGGTCATTGACCTAGGTGTCAATTAACGGAGTATGCATACGAAATATGAATTCTATATCTTTCATGGTTCAAAATTATGGTGAAGGTTAAAGTTGACAACAGACAGACAGACAAAGAGACAAACAGACAGGACAAAAACAAAAACAATATGTGCCCTGGATCTATCGATCCGGGCGCTTAAGAATAGAAATATTAAAATTTTGCACAGAAAAATGCTAAAAAATTAATAGCACATAAACACAAATTAAAATAACTTCAGTATCTCGCACTTCAAGACACATGGCAGCATATATATATATATTAAGAAGTAAGCTCCTATGTATTTTAACCTCTATATCCAGATATTTCCACTTCCATTAAGTTAGAAACATCTGAATAGCTGGTTATATATTTAGTGGAATGTGATAGTATGAAAACAATTTCTGCACCCGGATTGATAGATCAGTGCGTATATTGTTTTTGTCATGTCTGTATATCTGTTTTGTCTGTCTGTCTCTGTTGTCAACTTTAACCTTCACCATAATTTTTGAACCATGAGAGATAGAGACTTTATATTTGATATGTCTACTTCAGTGATTAAGCTCTTTTAAATGACTACAAGGTCAATGACCTTGTGACCTTGACTGTGACCTATATGCCAAAATTAGCTTTTTTTGAACTTTTTCACTTAATTTTGAACCATAAGAGATAGAGACTTCATATTTAATATGCATACTCCACTAATTAAGTTCTTCAAATAGCACGTTTGTGACCTATATGCTAAAAATAGCCTTTTTGATCCTTTGCCATAACTTTTGAACCATAAGAGACTTCATATTTGGTATGCTCTCCACTTATTACGTGACCTTGACTGTGACCTACATGTATATGCTAAAAATAGCTTTTTACAAATTTTGTTGCCGCTGGGCTTGTGGAGGGGAGTGTTTCACAAACACATCTTGTTTTTAAATACTGTACTTGAACAATTTTCTTTTTTTATGGAAAGTCACAATTTAAGTTTGTGATGATTTACAGGTCCTCATCCTCTGATGTGAATGAAAATAGTGGTCTACATTACCAGAGAATGTTAGAAGAGGCAGAACGACAGAGAACGGATGGGGAAACCCCTCCTCCCCTGACCTCCCCCATACATCATCTGGACAACAATAACATGGTAGGTAGTACTAGGTACTAAGTCAAGACAGGGAAACACCCCCCCCTCCCCTGACCTCCCCCATACATCATCTGGACAACAATAACATGGTAGGTACTAAACCCCTCCCCCCCTCATCTCCCCTATACATCACCTAGACAACAATAACATGGTAGGTACTAAGTCAAGACAGGGAACCCCCCCTCCCCTGACCCCCCCCATACATCATTGGACAACAATAACCTGGTAGGTACTAAGTCAAGACAGGGAACCCCCCCCCCCCCCCCCCTCCCCTGACCTCCCCCATACATCATTGGACAACAATAACATGGTAGGTACTAAGTCAGGACAGGGAAACATTTTCCCCATACATCACCTGGACAACACTAACATGGTAGGTACTAAGTCAGGACAGGGAAACATTTTCCCCATACATCACCTGGACAACACTAACATGGTAGGTACTAAGTCAGGACAGGGAAACATTTTCCCCATACATCACCTGGACAACACTAACATGGTAGGTACTAAGTCAGGACAGGGAAACATTTTCCCCATACATCACCTGGACAACACTAACATGGTAGGTACTAAGTCAGGACAGGGAAACATTTTCCCCATACATCACCTGGACAACACTAACATGGTAGGTACTAAGTCAGGACAGGGAAACATTTTCCCCATACATCACCTGGACAACACTAACATGGTAGGTACTAAGTCAGGACAGGGAAACCCCCCCTCCCCTGACCTCCCCCATATATCACCTGGACAACACTAACATGGTAGGTACTAAGTCAGGACAGGGAAACCCCCCCTCCCCTGACCTCCCCCATATATCACCTGGAGACAACACTAACATGGTAGGTACTAAGTCAGGACAGGGAAACCTCTCCCTCATATATCACCTGGACAACACTAACATGGTATGTACTAAGTCAGGACAGGGAAACCTCTCCCTCATATATCACCTGGACAACAATAACATGGTATGTACTAAGTCAGGACAGGGAAACCTCTCCCTCATACATCACCTGGACAACACTAACATGGTATGTACTAAGTCAGGACAGGGAAACCTCTCCCCCATATATCACCTGGACAACACTAACATGGTAGGTACTAAGTCAGGACAGGGAAACCTCTCCCCCATATATCACCTGGACAACACTAACATGGTAGGTACTAAGTCAGGACAGGGAAACCTCTCCCTCATATATCACCTGGACAACACTAACATGGTATGTACTAAGGCAATGCCATAGTGATTCATGTACAAAAACAAGTACTGAGCAGAAATAACAGAAATTTTGAATTTTAATGGGAAAGGGGGATATGGGAGTCAGAAACTTGAGTTACTTGTCCATATTCAAGGCACTTTTAAATACCATAGACCAGCTGATATTTGTATGTAATGAATATTTTAAAATCTACAACTGTGGCAATGCACACAAAAAATTATAATTTCAAACTATAGTGATCTTAAATGTAGGAATGTTCAGTGTGAAATAGGTTTCAGTCAATGAATTGTGAATAGAAAATTTGTTATGAACAATTATTAGTTCAAGATACCGGTATTTTTTATAGCAATAGGGAATTCTGCATTAATGCTCTGATTTAATTTTTTTTTAGACTTTTGATAAGTACAGCCGTGTGGATGACAGTGATGGAAGCAATACAGTGAAGAGATTGAGGAGGAAGAAGAGGAAAAGTCTGCGCGGCCAACCAAGATCAAACACTGGAGAAGACAGCCAGGAAACGGAGCAGAAAATATCCACTATTGGTAATTTTACAATACTTTATATACATCAAATGATACTGCTTCCCAATATGAGCTATAGGTATTGTATTTTTGTTTTTAAAAATGTTTTAAGAATTTTGTTATTTATCAATAAGAGCAATATTCATATCTCCCATAGTTAAAAAAAAACTCTTTACAACTGAATACTTGATCATTTTCTACAGTTTGTATAACTTTTCATTTCAGATAATTCTTCACTTTACTACACCAAATCTTTAAAAACACAAATGGAAGCTTCTTTGAAGAAGCATTCACAGAAATTGATGCCTAGTGTTCATGAAAATAAAAGTTATCATTCTGACTCGTACGATTCCCAAAATGAGGCTCCACCAAAAGCCGTGTATAAGGGAGACTACACTCAAGAAATAAGCCCAGACTCAGGAATCAATTCACAGGATTCTCTCCACAGAAGTAAACGGTTACGCCGTAAAAAGCCCCGTAAACCCAAAAACAATGATGTAGAAGAAGAAGAAAATGAAGACTTGAATTCAACCACGATTTTCACAGTAAACGGAACAGCCAAATTTAATAGAGACGGTAGTCTGAATTATAAGGATGGTTTTCGCGAGCTACCGTTAACACCCGTTCAACTGAGGAAGAGCGGGAGTCCCAGTGAAACTAGACATGTAGATGTGCCAAAATTAGACTTAGGAGCTCTGAGGGAAAGTTACGAGAGTAATTCGTATCAACCTGTCAGTTCACTAAGGTCGTCAGATACGTACAGAGCGGTGCTAGGAAAAATTCCTGAGAGATCATCATATGACACGGAGGTCTAGTCTTTTTATTTGATACTGTTGATATCTCAAGGAAGTGTTTGTTTTTTTTTTTCTTCCCATAATGCCTATCTGTTTCCCTAACAAAAAATTTGAAATTCACTGTATGTGATCTAAGAGCATATCTTTGCTCATTCAGTTCTCTAATTCTGTAGTAATTCTGACCCATTCAATCAATATTTAGTTTTATTGAATTTCAAAGACATACACATGTACTTTAAATTTGCAATCAGGTGTTTAATAATTTCTTCTTATGTTCAAATTCTAAGATTTTTCTTATTGTATTAGTAATTGTATTCATCATTTCAAACTTTCCTTTAATGTTCTTGTGTCTATTGTACTGTACTGCCTTCTGTTATTTATCTAAATAATTGATTTTATTAACCACTGCTTTATATTTACCTTGACTGTGATATCATTTTAGCTGTATGGTTGTGAGAGTGTTATACTAATTGTTATCATTCCTTTTATATTGGTTGAAGAAGGGCTTTTGATTTTGTGATTATGAGGAAAGAGAAATTTCATTTGCAAAACAGAGGTTTTAAACTGCCTTTACTCTGTTGTTACAAGTACTGAGTCAATTCAGATTGAGTACTTAATGGTATACATGTATATATGACATGTGAAATTTTGATTTTGTGCCCCATCATGAATATGGCTGAGCATATTTGTTCTTAGCTTTTATGTTATCAAAGCTATTTTGCTCTAAATTTAATATACACATGCATATTTTATTTGTTTATTTATTGGCTTGGTAATGCATTATTGCTTCCGTCCAAAATATTGTTTTCAATATTATATTTTTGTTTTTTTTAATGCATCTTTTATTATTTATTGTAAGTGAATCCATTCCATTTAGATTATAAAGGACCAAGCTCACAAGATGTTAGAACTCTTCATTATTCCCCTGACCGATTCAATAAAGCATATACATGTATATTGCAGTTTTTTTTATTTGTATTGTAGGGGGGAAACAAAGATTTCTTATAATTTTCAGCATTTTAAAACTGCAAATTAAGTGGTAAAAATCATTTAATTGTGCCTTCTTAAAGAAAATATAGAAACATTTGCAGTTCACATACTTGAATGTTTATATTGTTTATACATGTAGATACTTGGTCATAATTTAATAGTACATGTAATTAGTTAAATCCAGAATTTTTTCCTGCATTTCATTTAATTTCCATATTTAGGCCCTAAATACTAAACAAACAATTCTAAGATAAGTTCATTGTTCACGTTTCAACTGTTTTTATTTTTTTTTTTTAACTAGCAGGTAATGTTTTTAGATCACTTTTAACGTAAAAATGATTTTGTGTTTTTATTTAATTTATTTTGTACATTAAGTTTACACAGAGCACTCTTTAGTGTATTGTCACTTATTGATTAAATTGTCATTAATTTATACTGACAAGGCTTTGTTGTCAGTCAGTTTATATTGTAACAATAAAAATTGATGATAAATTTGTTTTTATATATGATTGAAACCATATATTAAGTCTTTGAGGTTGCCAGAATAACCCGAGTGATAACCAAGTCATCTGAAGCTGATGCAAAGGATACCCTATTATCCTTTTTTTCTACCTTGCTGCAAATCAAAAAAGGGTAGATTTGTATAGTTTTTAATTTGTATTAGGTATTTTTCACAAATTAAAAAAAAAAAGGTTTTATGGCACAAAATTACCAACTTAATTCTGCATGTTTTTTATTTTATACGAATTACAAATCATCACAACAAAATGTGATAAATAGATTATTACGGAAAAAACAGATATACGGCAACTGAATCAGTAAAGTGTGTATACCAGCAAATATTCAAATCTACTGATGAATAGGAAAGCTAAACCAGTAATGTGGATACACCAGTAAATGATCTGATAATGATAAAAAGGATAACTGAATGAGTAATGTGTGTACACCAGTAAATGATCTGATAATGATTAATAGGATAACTGAATGAGTAATGTGTGTACACCAGTAAATGATCTGATAGTGATAAATAGGATAACTGAATCAGTAATGTGTGTACACCAGTAAATGATCTGATAATGAATAATAGGATAACTGAATCAGTAATGTGTGTACACCAGTAAATGATCTGATAGTGATAAATAGGATAACTGAATCAGTAATGTGTGTACACCAGTAAATGATCTGATAGTGATAAACAGGATAACTGAATCAGTAATGTGTGTGTACACCAGTAAATGATCTGATAATGATAAATAGAATAAATGACTCAGTAATGTGTGTACACCAGTAAATGATCTGATAATGATATATAGGATAACTGAATCAGTAATGTGTGTACACCAGTAAATGATCTGATAATGATAAATAGGATAACTGAATCAGTAATGTGTGTACACCAGTAAATGATCTGATAGTGATAAACAGGATAACTGAATCAGTAATGTGTATACACCAGTAAATGATCTGATAATGATAAACAGGATAACTGAATCAGTAATATATGTACACCAGTAAATGATCTGATAATGATAAATAGGATAACTGAATCAGTAATGTGTGTACACCAGTAAATGATCTGATAGTGATAAACAGGATAACTGAATCAGTAATGTGTATACACCAGTAAATGATCTGATAATGATAAACAGGATAACTGAATCAGTAATGTGTGTACACCAGTAAATGATCTGATAATGATAAATAGGATAACTGAATCAGTAATGTGTGTACACCAGTAAATGATCTGATAATGATAAATAGGATAACTGAATCAGTAATGTGTGTACACCAGTAAATGATCTGATAATGATAAACAGGATAACTGAATCAGTAATGTGTATACACCAGTAAATGATCTGATAATGATATATAGGATAACTGAATCAGTAATGTGTGTACACCAGTAAATGATCTGATAATGATAAATAAGATAACTGAATCAGTAATGTGTGTACACCAGTAAATGATCTGATAATGATAAATAGGATAACTAAATCAGTAATGTGTGTACACCAGTAAATGATCTGATATTGATAAATAGATAACTGAATCAGTAATGTGTGTACACCAGTAAATGATCTGATAATGATAAATAGGATAACTGAAACAGTAATGTGTGTACACCAGTAAATGATCTGATAGTGATAAACAGGATAACTGAATCAGTAATGTGTGTACACCAGTAAATGATCTGAAAATGATAAACAGGATAACTGAATCAGTAATGTGTGTACACCAGTAAATGATCTGATAATGATAAATAGGATAACTAAATCAGTAATGTGTGTACACCAGTAAATGATCTGATAATGATAAATAGATAACTGAATCAGTAATGTGTGTACACCAGTAAATGATCTGATAGTGATAAATAGGATAACTGAATCAGTAATGTGTGTACACCAGTAAATGATCTGATAATGATAAATAGATAACTGAATCAGTAATGTGTGTACACCAGTAAATGATCTGATAATGATAAATAGGATAACTGAAACAGTAATGTGTGTACACCAGTAAATGATCTGATAGTGATAAACAGGATAACTGAATCAGTAATGTGTGTACACCAGTAAATGATCTGATAATGATAAATAGGATAACTGAAACAGTAATGTGTGTACACCAGTAAATGATCTGATAATGATAAACAGGATAACTGAATCAGTAATGTGTGTACACCAGTAAATGATCTGATAATGATAAATAGATAACTGAATCAGTAATGTGTGTACACCAGTAAATGATCTGATAATGATAAATAGGATAACTAAATCAGTAATGTGTGAACACCAGTAAATGATCTGATAATGATAAATAGATAACTGAATCAGTAATGTGTGTACACCAGTAAATGATCTGATAGTGATAAATAGGATAACTGAACCAGTAATGTGTGTACACCAGTAAATGATCTGATAATGATAAATAGGATAACTGAATCAGTAATGTGTGTACACCAGTAAATGATCTGATAATGATAAATAGATAACTGAATCAGTAATGTGTGTACACCAGTAAATGATCTGGTAATGATAAACAGGATAACTGAATCAATAATGTGTGTACACCAGTAAATGATCTGATAATGATAAATAGATAACTGAATCAGTAATGTGTGTACACCAGTAAATGATCTGATAATGATAAAAAGGATAACTGAATCAGTAATGTGTGTACACCAGTAAATGATCTGATAATGATAAATAGGATAACTGAATCAGTAATGTGTGTACACCAGTAAATGATCTGATAATGATAAATAGATACTGTATATACTCGCCTATAAGTCGGTTGTATTTTTTGACGTTATTTTGATGGGATTTGCTATTGGCCTGCTTATACATCGGTACAATTTTTTTGCCATAATCTGGTGACAATTTCAAGTTAATCCATTGATTTATAACCTGGATTCAATAAATATTTTTTCAAACTGACACTGATATTCAATCTAAAATTAGTAAACAAAAAAGTAATGCTCACTTAAACAATTAAAATACAATTCATGAAATATGTCAATACTTGTACTTTTTATATATAATCTAAGTATACATAAATTATCTTATATATCCTGGCCAGACATTTTCTTAGATAATCATGCGGAAATGTAAATAAGATACTACCTTTTAGCCTCTAGAAAAGTGCCAATCTCTTTATGACTCGCCTATAAGTCGGACATAGAGTTTAAGACCAATATTTAACTGCCAAAATACCGATTTATAGGAGAGTATATACGGTAACTGAATCAGTAATGTGTGTACACCAGTAAATGATCTGATAATGATAAATAGGATAACTGAATCAGTAATGTGTGTACACCAGTAAATGATCTGATAATGATAAACAGGATAACTGAATCAGTAATGTGTGTACACCAGTAAATGATCTGATAATGATAAATAGGATAACTGAATCAGTAATGTGTGTACACCAGTAAATGATCTGATAGTGATAAATAGGATAACTGAATGAGTAATGAGTGTACACCAGTAAATGATCTGATAATGATAAATAGGATAACTGAATCAGTAATGTGTGTACACCAGTAAATGATCTGATAGTGATAAATAGGATAACTGAATGAGTAATGTGTGTACACCAGTAAATGATCTGATAATGATAAATAGGATAACTGAATCAGTAATGTGTGTACACCAGTAAATGATCTGATAGTGATAAATAGGATAACTGAATCAGTAATGTGTGTACACCAGTAAATGATCTGATAGTGATATATAGGATAACTGAATCAGTAATGTGTGTACACCAGTAAATGATCTGATAGTGATAAATAGGATAACTGAATCAGTAATGTGTGTACACCAGTAAATGATCTGATAGTGATAAATAGGATAACTGAATGAGTAATGTGTGTACACCAGTAAATGATCTGATAGTGATAAATAGGATAACTGAATGAGTAATGTGTGTACACCAGTAAATGATCTGATAATGATAAATAGGATAACTGAATCAGTAATGTGTGTACACCAGTAAATGATCTGATAGTGATAAATAGGATAACTGAATCAGTAATGTGTGTACACCAGTAAATGATCTGATAGTGATAAATAGATAACTGAATCAGTAATGTGTGTACACCAGTAAATGATCTGATAATGATTAATAGGATAACTGAATCAGTAATGTGTGTACACCAGTAAATGATCTGATAGTGATAAACAGGATAACTGAATGAGTAATGTGTGTACACCAGTAAATGATCTGATAATGATAAAAAGGATAACTGAATCAGTAATGTGTGTACACCAGTAAATGATCTGATAATGATAAACAGGATAACTGAATCAGTAATGTGTATACACCAGTAAATGATCTGATAATGATAAATAGGATAACTGAATCAGTAATGTGTGTACACCAGTAAATGATCTGATAATGATAAACAGGATAACTGAATCAGTAATGTGTGTTCACCAGTAAATGATCTGATAATGAATAATAGGATAACTGAATCAGTAATGTGTGTACACCAGTAAATGATCTGATAATGATGAATAGGATAAATAAAATCTGTAACGTGAGTACGTACATTAGCAAATAATTCGATACATATATAACACTGATTCAGTAATGCTAGTAAATATACGAGTATATGATCTGATAAATAGGATAACTGACTCAGTAATGTGTGTACTCCTACACCAGTAAATGTTATGGGGATGCTTACTCCTCTATGGCACTTGATCCCACCCCTGATGTTTTGGAGGTCTGTGTCTGTATTTATCACTATCAGATCATTTACTGGTGTACACACATTACTCATTCAGTTATCCTATTTATCATTATCAGATCATTTACTGGTGTACACTCATTACTCATTCAGTTATCCTATTTATCACTATCAGATCATTTACTGGTGTACACACATTACTGATTCAGTTATCCTATTTATCATTATCAGATCATTTACTGGTGTACACACATTACTGATTCAGTTATCCTGTTTATCATTATCAGATCATTTACTG